GCCACACAGAACAGCAGAGAGGGGTCTTAAACCAGCCCCCAGAGGTCACTGACACTCCACTGAAGTGAATGACTTTCACTATTTCACTTATTTTTTATCTTTTACTTAAGAAACTAATTTTTTTCTCAATTGATTTTACTTTATTATATTCTTATTTTTAATTATTACTATTATTTTATTTAAGTTTTATTTTATTTTTGGATTAGTGTTCTACATTCTATTATTTTTTTTCCTTTTAGCATTATTTTACTCTATCTCAATTTTTCTTTTATGCCAACACTCTCTTTCCTCACTTTTCCCCTTTTTTTGTCCTGTTTCTCTTATCTGGTTCCTGCTTTAGTTTTTATCTATCCTTTCTTTTTACTCCCTGTTAAAAATTGATCTTCCTCATATATCTAATTTCTTATTCCCAACTCCAAGTCCATGCACACTCGTCTCTTTCTTCACTAGCCAAAATATTTTTTATTTTTCCTTTTCCTTTTCTTTCCTTTCTTCTTTCTTTCTTTCTTTCTTTCTTTCTTTCTTTCTTTCTTTCTTTCTTTCTTTCTTTCTTTCTTTCTTTCTTTCTTTCTTCTTTCTTTCTTTCTTTCTTTCTTTCTTTCTTTCTTTCTTTCTTTCTTCTTTCTTTCTCTCTCTCTCTCTCTCTCTCTCTCTCTCTCTCTCTCTCTCGTCTTCTTGTTTTTTTTTCTTGATTTTATTTTGTTTCTGTTTTTCCTCTCCTCCCTTGTTCTCTTCTACTAATAGCTTAATTAGTTTCAATCACCAACTCAGGCCTATCTACTCTTTATAAATTTACATATATATATATATATATATATATATATATGATTTTTCTTTTATTATTTTGTTTTTTACTTTTCTTCTTATACACACATTCTCTTTCTACCTCTTCAATACTGAATTTTGGCCATTTCCCCATTTATTCAATTCCTTGACCTTACCTTCTGAAAAGAAGCTCCACTTCTTCAGATTCATTTGGATGTTTGTTGTTTCAGTATTTGTTGTTTGCTATTTTGGATTAGTTGTTGTTTGTTGTTTAGATTGTCCTTCTCTGGGTATTTGTTGTTTACATTTTTTTGGATTAATTGATGGTTTTTTCTATCCATATACATATATTTTTATATCATCTTTTTTATTCTCTTTCTTTTCTCACTACATTTTTTCCTTTTCTTTTTCTTTTTTTAAATATATATATATATATTTTTATTGATTTTGTACAGTGAGGGAGACAGAGAGTTAGAAACATCGATGAGAGAGTCATCGATCAGCTGCCTCTTGCACACCCCCTACTGGGGATATGCCCGCAACCAAGGTACATGCCCTTGACCGGAATCCAACCTGGGACCTTTCAGTCCCCAAGCCGATTCTCTATCCATTGAGCCTGGTTTTGGCGATTTTTTCCTTTTCTCAATATCTTTTTTTTTTTTTTTTTTTTTTTTTGCACTCCTTTCTCTCCCCTAATTCTCTTTCCTCTGAATTTATTTAACTTTTGATTTCATGATACCAGTAAATCACCTTTGTTTGGATTTACTGGTATCATGAATACATTTGTGTTTGGTGCCCTGTGTATTGTGTCTTGTCGTGTTGTATTTTGTGCCTTTAAGTCAACACAGCTAAGGTTATCTATATATAACCAGACACCCCAAGAGGAGCAAACATGGGGAGACAAAGAAACAGCTCACATAGGAAAGGAGCAATCACCAGAAAAAGAAGTAAATGAAATAAAAGCAAGCAATATATCAGAAAAGAAATTCAGAGCAATAGTCTTTAAGGATGCTGAAAAGGATGGAAGACAAATTCAACAATATGCGCAGGAACCAAGAAGAAATGAAGAACCAAAAAGAAATGAAGGATGACATAGCTGTAGTAAAGAACACAACAGAGAACATCAACAACAGACTAGAAGTGGAGGACTGCATCTGTGAGCTAGAAGACAAGTGAAAAAAAAATTCCCAAGCAGAGCAGTAACTGGGGAAAAAACAAACAAACAAACAAACAAACAAACAAAAAAAACCTTAAAAAAATAGGAGGAGAGCCTAAGGGAACTTTGGAACACGAAATGAAACAACATCCGCATAATAGGGGTACCAGAAGGAGAGGAAGCTGAGTAAGGAATAGAAAACCTGTCTGAAGAAATAATGACAGAAAAATCCATGATATTTGGAAGGAAAAAGTCAAACAAATCCAAGAAGCTCAGATGAACCCCCAAAAAGCTGACACCAAGACACTTCGTAATCAAGTTGGCAGACACAAACAAGAATCTTAAAGGCTGCCAGAGAGAGACAGAAAGTTAAATACAAGAGAACACCCATCAGACTGATTTCTCAACAGAAACACATTAGGCCAAAAGGGAATGGAGTGAAATAAACAAAGTCATGCAAAGCAAGGGTCTGAATCCAAGAATACCCAGAAAGGCTATCAATCAAAATTGAGGGTGAAATTAGAATCTTCATAGACAAAAAAGGACTAAGGGAGTTTATTATCACAAAACCAGCAATGCAGGAAATATTAAAGGGTCTTCTTTAAAAAAAAAAAGAAAAAAGAAAAAAAAAAAGAAATAGGAAGCAAAGAAGGAACACAGGCATGATGAAAAAAAAAATTGGAGATAAACAACTACCTATCAATAATAACCTTAAATATAAATGGTTTAAATGCCCCAACCAAAAAACATGGGGTGGCTGAGTGGAAAGTAACACGATTACTTTCCCATATTTTGTTCAGGAACATAAAATTCAAATACAAATTTGAATATGTATGATATTTGAATATGACCAATATCTTTGCTGTCTACAGGAAACCCACCTCAGAACAAAGGACTCATACAGACTGATGTTGAAGATATGGAAAAAGATTTTTCAGGTGAATGGAAAGGAAAAAAAGAAAAAAAATAGGTAGCCATATTTATATCTGATAAATTAGACCTCAAAATGATAGCCATAACAAGCGATAAATAAGACCACTTCATAATACTAAAGGAAGCAATTCAACAAGAAGATATAACTCTGGTAAACATGTATGCACCCAATATAGGAGCAACCAAATACATAAAAACAAAAAATAAACAAACAAAAAACCACACACACACACACACAAAAGTTCTGGAAGATGTAAAGGGAAAGATAGACTGCAATAGAGTTGTAGTAGGGGACTTTAATACCCACTAACACCAGGGTGCAAATACTATAAACAAAAAGTAACCAGAGAGAGTTCAAGCCTAAATGACTCACTAGATCAGATGTAATTAATTGACATCTTCAGAACATTCCACCCCAAAGTCACAGAATACACGTTTTCCTCAAGTGCACACAGGTCATTTTCAAAGATAGACCACTGGTGCTCAGTGCCACCTCTCATGTGGACATTGAGGGTCCCCAGTCTGCCTGGGGGACCGGGTGCACAGCCATCCTGAGTGGGAGAGATGAACTTCCAAGTGCTCTCACCCAGAATCAAAGTGAGGCGGCACAGATGCCCTGAGTGTGCCTGGGGTCTGGTCACGGGAGTGAGAACTGCAGGAAATAAAATCTGTGTCTGTGCACCCGGCTCAAACCCAGTGCAGCCTCCCTGTGTGGGTGAGGGGTCTGGTCACGGGAGTGAGAACTGCAGGAAATAAAATCTGTGTCTGTGCACCCGGCTCAAACCCAGTGCAGCCTCCCTGTGTGGGTGAGGGGTCTGGTCACGGGAGTGAGAACTGCAGGAAATAAAATCTGTGTCTGTGCACCAGGCTCAAACCCAGTGCAGCCTCCCTGTGTGGGTGAGGGGTCTGGTCACGGGAGTGAGAACTGCAGGAAATAAAATCTGTGTCTGTGCACCCGGCTCAAACCCAGTGCAGCCTCCCTGTGTGGGTGAGGGGTCTGGTCACGGGAGTGAGAACTGCAGGAAATAAAATCTGTGTCTGTGCACCAGGCTCAAACCCAGTGCAGCCTCCCTGTGTGGGTGAGGGGTCTGGTCACGGGAGTGAGAACTGCAGGAAACAAGCTCCCCAAGTCTGCAGGCCCAGGCTCAAATTCAGCCTCCCTGTGTGGGCAGGAGGCCTGCCTACACGGAGAGGGTGGTGCCACAGCGTGCCCGCAGGGAGGGGGATGGGCTCTGGACTCAAAGAAATCCACACCTGGAGTCCTGGTGTCCCTGGGTCTGCAGTTGTGGTCACAGGTCTTTTACCCGAGTGGCTAAAGGGTTCCAGTTTGCATCTGAGACCAGATTGGGTGGTGGCAAAGCTAGGTTCCTAGTCTCAAGCAGCTCTGTTCTTCAAGGTGGTGTGGTTTCTGTGCCGGTGGTGTCCTCCTTGGATTGTTTGCAGTGACAGCGGGGTTTTGCTGTCCAAGACTGCCCAGCTTGGCAGCCCCTGGGAGACCTGCAGGATCTGACTCTCTCTCCATACACTCCTCTATCGCTCCCGCAATCTCTCATACACACTCCTTCCCTACCTTCTTGCCAGTCACCATCCTACTTTTTTCTGTTTTCTACAAAGAACATGTTCTCATCATAAAACAGAAAATGCCATTAAAGCCAAAAACTAAAGGCTTTTAAAAAGTAGGTTTTCAGATATCTTCGTTATCTGATTTCTCTCAGTATACTGAAAGCCATATTGCTATGGCTACCATTTGGCAAAGTTGTATAAAATAACAGGCACACACTCAGATATTGTCACATGTCTGTTTATTGAGAAAATTGAGAGGCTAGAGGTTGACTCTAGTCACTTGATTACTTTTCAGTATATCAAAGAAGATTCCAAAGTCCAAATCCATTTAGTTACACGATTACTTTCCCATATTTTGTTCAGGAACATAAAATTCAAATACAAAGAAATGTTCAAGTGAATCTAAAAACTGCTCTTTTTTTATTTCAAAGGGTGGTGATTTAGGGTCAGGAAGTACAGCGACATGGAAGAAGGACAAAAGTGGAACATGTAAAAGATAAAACATTTTTGCTGGATTTCATTTTCAGTTTCAAATCTTTTCAACTTTTCTTTTTATTTTTTGCACCAAAAAAGGAATCAATACTTTTCATTCCAGACTTGTCAACTTTAGCCAACGCCTTTTGAGCTGCAGTCATTTTGCTATTTTTCTGTTCACAAAAATAAGAGAAAAATTGTTTCAAATGCAACATTTATAAATCACACATGCAAATCAAACCTCACCATGCATGGCTCAAGATTCATTAAGGGAGGTAAGTAAGCATTTGCTAACATGCTTCATAAGGGAGTGCTAATTTTATTTTATTTATTTATTTTAAAATATATTTTATTGATTTTTTACAGAGAGGAAGGGAGAGAGATAGAGAGCTAGAAACGTCGATGAGAGAGAAACATCGACCAGCTGCGCCCACAACCAATGTACATGCCCTTGACCAGAATCGAACCCGGGACCTTTCAGTCCACAGACCGACTCTCTACCCCTGAGCCAAACCGGTTTCAGCGGGAGTGCTAATTTTAAAAAGTTCTGATTTCAATTCAGAATTCAAACCTAAGAGATAAAATATGTTAAAAAAAAAAAAAAAAAAAAAAAAAGGCAGGAGACAAACTGCTGCCTTTCCTGAAGTTTCACCATAGGGGAATAATTCTGGAGGGTGCATTAAGTGCAATAACACAAACAATGGACCTGACACAGGCAGCAATTACCAGAGAAGGAATTACAGCCTTGTATTACTACATGATGAATAATTCATACCAATTTACCATCTGATTTTATTCAGAGGCTCTAGGGAAAACAAGAACATATATGGTAATAGAAGGAGACTTGTTTTGGGGTGAAGGAGACATTAACCAATGTCACCCTAATAAATTCAATAAAAAATAAATTTAAGAAAATGTTACCATATTCAAAAGATTTTAAGAAAATTAAATTTTTTTTAAGAGAATGTTATCATATTCAAAAAATAGCTGGCCTATTTTCCCCTCTAACAACAAAATTCTTTTAAAAAGCTGATTCTAAATATCTCTCCTATGTAAATTGCTCTTTTCCTTGTCACTGTTTTTTTTTTGTTTGTTTGTTTTAGTTTTTGTTTTTGTTTTTTGTGACACGTCCTAGCAGAAGGTAAATAGCAGCCGATTTTATTTTGACGCATCACTTGTTCAACAGAAGCATAAATAATGGGAATCAGCAAAGAAAAAAAAATCAGCTGCCTTTCTGGGAACTGTGAGACAAAGTTATTGCCAAAGTATCTTTTAGGACACAATACATGATCCCTGAACTTTTACATTCTGTCACTTATATAATAATTCAGTAGGGTTAGCGTCAATCTCTGAGATAAGTCATCCCTTGCATTTAACTGACATCCCATTATCTCACTGGTGCTATGCCCTAGAGCAGCAGTCAACACCTTCGGTTGGCCACTGCTGCCCTAGGAGATACAATGGGCAGTTAAACGTGTGGGGCAGAAATACTTCTCACAGAGAATTTCAAAAATACCCCTGCTTACAAAAACCATGGAGGTCACCAGGTATTTAGCCATATCTCAAATTAGATTATCCCCTGATATCACAAGCTCAGGTAAATTATATATACAGAATAAAATTTATTTAAAAACTTAAATTATAAGGGGAGAAAAATATGAAAATCTAAGTGGAAGTTAACTCTATTTTGGGATAGGTAAGGTCTTTCTAAGCATAAAAATAATGAGAAAAATCATAGAGTAATTTCTATATTCAATCCTGGGAAAAACTTAAAACTTTAAAAATGAAAAGGCTGAACACAAATTTGAAAATTCTTGTACCTTCCTTATATGTTATGAAAAGTATGAATAGAATAGGCTCAATTTAGAACAGGCTCTTACAAATGAACAAGGAAAACATTACTATCCTAATAGAAAAGCAGGCCTAAATGAAAATGGCCAATAAGCATTGAAAAATACAACTAACTTTATAGTTAAAAAAATGTAGCCTAGCCGAAGCCGGTTTGGCTCAGTGGTAGAGCGTCAGTCTGCAGACTGAAAGGTCCCAGGTTCGATTCCGGTCAAGGGCATGTACCTTGGTTGCGGGCACATCCCCGGTAGGGGGTGTGCAAGAGGCAGCTGGTCGATGTTTCTCTCTCATCGACGTTTCTTGCTCTCTATCTCTCTCCCTTTCTCTCTGTTAAAAATCAATAAAATATATATTTTTAAAAATGTAGCCTAACTATACAGGCAAACATTTTTAAGAATAAAAATAATACTCAGTGTTGTCAAGAATGGAAGATGAATACTCATCAGGAATAATGGTTAGGAGTAAAATTTCTACTACATTTTTGGAAAGCATTTTATTTATATCTATACTAATAAAAGGGTAATATGTTAATTAGACTGGGTTGACCAAAAATCTTCCAGTCATCTGGTCCTCTTTCTGGACAAAGCCACGGTGGCAGGGGCTGAGGCAGAGGTGGTTAAAGGAAATCAGGCTGGTAGGGGAGCAGTTAGGGGTGATCAGGCTGGCAGGAGACAGTGGTTAGGGGCACCCTCCCCTGCCAGCAGGAGAGGGGTTAGGAACCAGCAGGCAGAGTTAGAAACATCGATGAGAGAGAAACATCGATGAAAGAGAACATCGACCAGCTGCCTCCTGCACCCCCTACTGGGAAACAGCCACCACCACAGACTATAGGAAACCATGTTAAATTCACTCAAAGTTGCCGAAACCGGTTTGGCTAAGTGGATAGAGCGACAGCCTGCCGACTGAAAGGTCCCAGATTTGATTCTGGTCAAGGGCATGTATCTTGGTTGTGGGCACATCCCCAATAGGGGGTGTGCAAGAGGCAGCTGATCAATGTTTCTCTCTCATCGATGTTTCTGGCTCTCTATCCCTCTCCCTTCCTCTGTAAAAAATCAATAAAATATTTTAAAGAAAATAAAAGATTATAAAATCAGCCCTAGCCAGTTTGGCTTAGTGGATAGAATGTTGACCTGTGGACTGAAGGGTCTTGGGTTTGATTCCAGTCAAGGGCATGTATGTTGATTCTGGTCAGGGCATGAGCCTGAGGCAACCAATCAATGTACCTCTCACATGATATTTCTGTCTATCCCCATCCCTTTCACTCTCTAAAAAAAAATCAGTGGAAGATATCCTCGGGTGAGGATTAACAAAAAACAGAAGAATTGTAAAATCACAATAGCATACAATTATGCAGCAGCACTCACTGAGTCCAAGTGTATGCCACTATGTCTGGACACACATACCTTTTCAGTCTTCATATCTTTGGTATTAAACTTAGTGTAATCTTCTTTTGCTTCTACGGGCTCATCTGATAACTTTACCTTCTGCAAATGTTAGAGTAGTGAAATGGTGTAAAATGCCACCTTAACACATCAATCAATTTAAAAAGAACCAATGTGGAATTTGGTCCCACACTAAGGCCAAATTAAGCAACTGACCCTGCAAATGGCTTTTTTCTTTAACAAGCTCCTTTACATTTTGCTGATTATCTAGAGAACTAAGCCACACAGCCTTCTGAGGAACAGTCTTGATAATGGGGGATATAAGTAAGAAAGTCCTAGTCCCAGTCTCTAGGGGTATTAATCACATATTTTACATGTACTAGGGACAGAGACTGCTGACTTCCAGGAAAGTTTAAGGGGGTGAATGAAGGCACAAAAGCAAAGACTAGAATTTTCTTTAAGGTGGTCAACTAGAAACTACACTTCATTCACCTCCTGGGCTGGTGTAATGTCCATTTAGAAACAGCACTTACTATCATCTTTATATAGTTTCATGTTGTTATCTCCTTTCAATTCAATAATCTCATTTTATCACGTAAGAACAATTTCACAAAGCAAGCAGTCAGAGGAAGAAGGAAGCACAGAGATGTTAAACAAAAAACTTAAGGCCACTGAGCAGAGGACATAGGGTGAGATCTCAATTTCTGTACAAGTGCTCTTTCCATTAGGCACAATGCAACTAAGTTGACATTTACTTTGTGTTTTCCCCTTTCACATGCGCATTTGTACCAATGAGTGTGAGAATCTTGTCAAGAGCTAAACTTAGCCTTCATGTTCACATTATAGAGGAATCATGCCACATTTATTATGTAAAGGGCACATAAGCAGGGCTGATAAGTCTTCAGCATAGAGTATTGATTACACAGAGATCCCAACTCAGAATTTTACAGATCTTCAGGTATAGGGGGAATAAATGGTGAAGAAAAAAATAATCCTATCTAATAAAAGAGTAATATGCAAATTAACCATCACTCCACTATATCCACAAGGCATGCCCACCAGCCAATCAGGAGCAAATATGCAAATAAACCCACAAAGATGGCTACGGTCACAGAGAGCAGGAGGGATGCTTGGGTTTTCCCAGCGATGGAGGAAGCCAAGCTTCCTGCCTGCCCTTGCAGGCCTAGGCCTCCACTCAAAGCTACAAAGTTTCAATGACAGAAGATATATAAATCCAAACAGAAATGGCTGCCACCAGGAACAAGCAGAAGGCTTGGCTCTGCTTTAGGCTACAAAGTTTCAATTGTGGAAGATAGATAAACCCCAGATACCAGGACCTCCACTTGGGTCGTCAAGGGGTGTGGCTGGCCTGCAAACCACTATAGGCCCCTAGCCCAGTCTGCCCCACACCCCAAGGGAACCCTTAACCCTAATCTGGGACATCATTCAGGGCAAACCAGCCAGCCCCCACCAGTGCACCAGGCCTCTCTCCTATCTAATAAAAAAGTAACATGCAGATAGACCATCACTTCAATACACAAGGCGGCTGCCCCTATGTGGTCAAATATCCTACCCCCATGTAGACACAAGATGGCCACCACAAGATGGCCAGCAGGGGAGGGTAGTTGGGAGGGACCAGGCCTGCAAGGGAGTGCAGTTGGGGGCAATCAAGCCTGCAGGGGAGGGAAGTTAAGGGTGACCAAGCTGACAGAGGAGGGAAGTTAGGGTGACCAGGCCTGCATGGGAGTTAGGAGGGAACCAGGCCTGTAGAGGAGAGCAGTTGTGGGAACCAGGCCTGCAAGGGAAGGCAGTTAGGGACAAACAGGCTGGCAGGGAAGTGGTTAGGGGGTGATCAGACTGGCAAGCAGAAGCGGTTAGGGGCAATCAGGAAGGCAGGCAGGCAAGCAGTTGGGAGCTAGCAGTCCTGGATTGTGAGAGGGATGTTCAACTACCCTCTAAACGGGCAGTTGGACATCCCTCAAGGGGTCCCAGATTGGAGAGAGTGCAGGCTGAGCTGACAGACCTCCCCACCCCCTGTGCATGAATTCGAAGCACCGGGCCTGTAGTAATAAAATAAAGAAAAGAAAAAAATTTTTTGAAGATCTTCAAGCTCTTTGTAGACACCAGGTTGACAAGACCCAATATGGATCCACCCTAGGAAATACATATTTATTCCCAGCATCACTCTTCACACCCCAGCTTTTGCTAAACACAGAACTGGGAGGGCATTAAAAAATGCCACAACCCATATATATCAGGGGATAAAACAACATCCTTGAAATTCTTCACTGGAACTAACAGAGGGGCATCTGGGAATACGTCACATAATGGGGAAAACCTCTTGACCACAACCTCTAAGAAATGAATCTTCAAAAGAAAAAAACTTTTCTTCAAAAGAAAGTTTATCATGTATGAACTATGTACCAGCAAAGTGAATGTAAGTGATCAAGCAACATTCTTAAGAATACATGTTTCTACTAAAATTAAGACGTGTTTAGGTGATGCACATTTTATCTTCAACTGGGAGAGTAGAATGCATAGGTAATGATGAAGGCTATAATAGTTTCACAATGAAAAAAATTTAAGATTCTGAGGATGTTTGCTTTTCTCCTATGGCAAAATGTTCTAATACGGGTGATGTCATAAACATATGGGCTTATTTGCTTTTCACTGATAATTCAAATAAAAATGGCAAGACATTTAGATGAGATATTTCTTTATAAATATTAAAAATATAAAAAGATAACTGATTGTTTAGGTGCTTTATCAGCTCTCTATCATACAAGACACCAGTTGTAAGTACTTACGTCAAAGAAAATGGTGATAGTCTCTGCGCATAGCTAGGTTTCATGTTATTCCCAGCACATTGTTGAATATATTGAAAAACCAAACAAATCCATAATTGTTGTACTGACTTATTTTTGTTGTTGTTGTTATTTAAAAGACTGGATGGAGTTGAGTCGTTGCAACAGAGATCATTTGCTTCATGAAGCCTAAAATACTAACTGGCCTCTAGATTTCGGGATTGTTTCAGAAAAAAAAAAGTGACTCAGAAAGATGTATACACGTTGGTAACAAACAGTCTGACTAAATGGGTACAGCTCTGGGAGAAAAGAGCAAAGGGCAGAGGACCACCAGAATTAATGCTAGGATGGGTTGGTCTTATCATTCTTACAAATGATTTGCAAGAAGAAACAGAAGCATCTCCAAATCCACTGATTGCCTTAGGCTCTGCTAGCTGACAGTGTTAATTAAAAAAAATGGGAGAGGATGGGGCTGGAAGCTAAGGTTCAACAGAGGCACACATATGATAGTAAGAAAGTAATGCAAAACATGGCTCCATGCTATCGATTACACCACAGATACAAAGATATCTATGAGCCATTAGAATGTATTTTCTGAAAACAATATACTAAATTACTATAAAAAAAAAATCAATAAAACCCCAGACAGGAAAGCTAGCAGAAGACAATGTCCTATGCTTGTTTCAAATGTGGCTCTTCCCCAGTGCAGTCTGCACTGTGCACACGGGAGCCCCGGAAGACACAACGGAGGAGGAGACCTCGCAAAGCAGCTAAAATAACTCGGGAGGCCAGGCTGAAATGTAAGAGAAGCAGGATGCCAAGTCCTAAATCGGGGCTTTGTAAAACACTGTCCACGGGCCAAATCCAGCTGGCCACCTGCTTTCATTAGTGCCGTTTTTCTGGAACACAGTGCACTGGTTCACTCATGAATTGTATGTGGCTGTCATTGCACTTTTAACAGTGGAGTTGAGTAGTTGTGACAGGGATCACCTGCTTCATGAAGCCTAAAATACTAACTAAGATACAAACTTAGACTTTACTGGATAAGTCTGCTGACCCCTTGCCAAAATCATAAATGAAGAAATTACAAACAACTTACATTTTGGAAATTAAAACAAGAAAACATAAAACTGGATCTAAGAAGAGTAAACTTATGAAACATATCACCCTAGACAGAATCAAAGGCTAAAAGCTTCAAGAATAGGTTCAGAGTCATTCATAAATAATCTCTTAGTTACCAAGAAAGATGGATATTTCGGGGAAAGATATATTCTTAGTTTTGGAGAAGAAGAAATAAGAAAGACACCAACACACCTGTCCTCTCAGTTATACAATTATGTCAATGTCCCCTAGCACCATTTTCAGACAGTGGACCACTGGACTGATGTGTGGTTTGACTTCTGTCCAATGCTATTCCCCCAGAGAGTGAAAGATAAACCTCCTTTGATAATCAGCTGAAAATGGCCCACAACTCCCACTGATGTACTGTAAATTTTCCATCTTTTCTAAAAATCAAAGTAATAAGTGTTTTTAGAGCTACTACTACCTCCAAACAGAAAAGTCCTGAGAATGTTGGCAACTTGAAGGCAGGGAAAAAGGAAAAGTTGTTTCAACATCCACAATATGTCACTTTACATTCTAAGGCATTTGCTATTTTGCTGGCAAGAGAATGGCCCCACTGACTGACTGGCATGTGTGTCTATTGCCCTGTCTCAGAGGTCAGGCTGGACTGGATGCCACAGTGTGCCACCCAGTGTGGTTTCTGACTGACTTCTCTACCCTCCAATCCGGAGACAAACACAGCTGCGGCCCACAGTGCAGAGGAGCTAGGGGTGGCAGTTTGAGAACATCCGAAAAAGGGAAAGGCTTTCCACTAACAGATAAATATTATACATAAACTGGAGGCTTGGTGCACAAAATTCGTGCATGGAGGGAGGGGTCCCCTCAGACCAGCCTGCGCCCTCTCCACCGGGATCCCGTGGGGGATGTCTGACTGCCATAATCCTGGACCGCTGGCTCCTAATTGTTCACCTGCCTGTCTACCTGGTCACCCCTAACTGCCCCCCCCCCCCCCCACCAACCTGATCACCCCTCAATGCCTCTGTGTGCTGGCCTGATCACCCCTAACTGCCCCCCACTGTGGGCCAGGTCACTCCCAACTGCCCCCTTCCTGCCAGTCTGGTACTCCTAACTGCCCCACCCCCTGCCAGCCTGGTCGGCCCCAACTACCCCTCTCTGCCAGCCTGGTTCACCCTAACTGCTCCCCCCCCCCCTGCCAGCCTAATCGCCCCAAACTGCCCCCCCCTGCTGGCCTGGTTGCCCCCAACTACACCACCCCTACTAACCTGTCACCCCTCATGGTCCCCTGCAGGCCTGGTCACCCCATGCAGCCTGCATGTTCAGTCATTTGTTCCTCATTAACCCCCTGTGGCCTTGTTGCCCCCCCACAGCCTGCTTGTTCAGTCATTTGATCGTTCCTCAAGCCGGCCCCCAGTGGCTGGGTAGCTGACATCCGAGGCTTGCCTGTGCCTTGGGTGGATGGGGGTCTGAGAGGACTGGGGACTCCAGAGTCAAGTATGCAGAGCAGCTGGACCCGTCTGAGGGTGGGCCCAGCTGTTCCACGGCTGGGGCTGCCATCTTGTGGCTGTGGGTGCCACCATCTTTGAGGGCATGGAAGTCAATTAGTATATTCCTTCCTTATTGTCTGTGGGCTCTACCATCTTTGCAATGGCATGAGGGTCAATTAGCATATTCCCTCTTTATTAGATAAGACATCTACTATATTTTTATATAGGTATCTGGCTAACCAACTCTTATTTGAGTTTTGACAGTATATTATTATTCAGGTAAAATCTACAAAAAAAAAAAAAATTGGCGAGTCTAGTACAATCTTTATTCCACGTAACATCACTCATAAAAGATAGATTTAAAATGCTTTAAAATACCAGGTGTACCTGTTAATAATGTGGATTTTTTTCAATAGATGGAGTTACACATATGTTGATATATATGTGATTTGATATGTATGCTATTTTGTTGTATTGGCAGGAAGCTTCAAAACTTCATATGTCAAATTTGCTGAAGGTGTGAACATCATAGATGTTTTTACAATTAAAAATGTTGAATTTCATGCCAAAAAAAGAGCATTTGCAGAAAGTTTTAATTTATTATTTTATTTTGAAGAAAAGTGCTGCTGAAAGTTATCATATACTTTGGGAAGCTAATAGTGAACATGCTCATTCTCAAGATACTTGTGAATGCTGGTTTATATGCTTTAAAAGTGATGATTTTGATGTGAAGACAAAGAATGTCCAGGTCAACCGAAAAAGTCTGAAGACTAGCAATTACAAGCATTAATGGATGAAGATGGGTTTGCAAACAATTTCCAATTGTTTACAAGCAATGGGAAAGATTTTAAAGGAAGGAAAATGGGTCCCACATCAACTGAACAAAAGGCAAAGGGAAAACCGAAAAGTCATCAGTAAAATGTTGCTTCAAGGGCACGAAGTAAAGTCTTTTTTTTGCATAGAATTGTGACTGGTGATGAAAAGTGGATTTATTTTGAAAATCCCAAATGCACAAAATAATGGGTTGATCCAGGTCAACCATCAATATTGACTGCAAGGCCAAAATGCTTGGGAAAGAAGACAATGCTCTGCGTTTGGTGGGATCAGAAAGATGTGATGTAGTATGAGCTTCTAAAACCAGGTGAAACCGATCACTACTGACAAAATAATCAATTTGAACCACGCTTAGATCGTGAAATGACCAGAATGCGCCAGAAGACACGGCAAAGTAATTTTGCTTCATGATGATGCACTATCACACACTTCAAAACCAGTTAAAGACACTTAAAAGATCTTGTTCAGGAAGTATTAACCCACCCACTGTATTCACCAGACCTTGCTCCTTCAGATTACCACTTGTTCTGATAGATGGCACACACACTTTCTGAGCAGCACTTCAAAACGTATGAAGAAGTGAAAAATTGGGTCTCTGAATGGTTTGCTTCAAAACAAGAAAAGTTCTATTGGGACAGGATCTATAAATTACCTGAAAGATGTGTAGCTAGTGATGGACATTACTTTGAATAAATCACTTTTGATTTTCTCTTGAAATTATCATGTTTTCTTCGATTACAAATTCTGCACTATTAACCGGTAAACCTGGTAAACTACAGCAAACTAAATGTATGTGGTAAAAGTATAACATTTTTCCAAGTTCTCCAAGATTTCTTAGTCATAGCTTCTTACCTTTGATGGAGGTTTTGGCAATGAAGCTGCATATTCTGGAAGCCTACAGAGTGAAAAATAAGATTTCTAGTATTGGTTTTTCATAGATAAGCAAACAGAAAAGCTGGGCCTATTTAAGATTCAGTAAGTCTTCTTTCTTCTGACTTCACCTCTATATACTTTAATGTATAATCATTGCAGTGTAAAGAATGAAATTTATCTAAATGAATAAATCTTTGCCCTAGCTGGTTTGGCCCAGTGAATAGAGCATTGGCGTGCACACTGGAAGGTCCCGGGTTCGATTCCAGTATCACGGTTGCAGGCTCCTCCCTGGCCCAGGCCCTGGTCAAGCACATACAGGAGGCAGCTAATCAATGTGTTCCTCTCACATCAATATTTTTCTCTGTCTTTCCCTCTCTCTTCCACTCTATCTAAAAACCAATGGGAAAATATCCTTGGGTGAAGATTAAAAAATAATAATAATAAATAAATTATAAAATTTAAATCAATCAATAAATCTTCATTTCACAGATTCCTTGTATTGGAATTGTCTGAACTAAAAAATAAAGTTAGAACTCACTTGTTGAAATCAAATTGCTTTTCTTTAGCCTCCATAAATTTGCATTTTTGGCATTGTAGTATTTCTTTTTTATAAATAAGGACTCTAGCACATATTTAAAAGTTAAAATTATATTAACCGTTGACAAAAAGCCATACAAAATTTGCATTTTTTCCACCAGAGAGAAGTTTAATTGACATATATTTCTCCTAAATCTTAACTAAAAAATTTTAGTTGAAAGAAAGGAATGTGAAATATAATGGAGTACAAAAACATAAGGAATATAACTAGATAAGGAGCAACTAAGTAATCTAGGGAAATATTAAACAGAAAAATATGGTTATCGACTTAAAGCAGGCTTTCAACACATTTTAACTACCACAAAAAACAACTTCTGCTAGTTGTTTTTTAAAATAGGACAATTTAAATTTAAATTTGCTAAAAACAGCAACTATATCTATTAAAAAGTCATTTATCTTCATGTATGGGAGGAAAATGTAATTAATTATAGGAATGAGAAAGTACATTAACTCATCACACACGTAAAATCTGAAAAACAGTAATCTAAACCTAGGAAAAAAACCATGTTTTTTAAAGGTAAAGTCTTATATTATAAAGGAATATAAATGAAGTCATTCATAAACCCTTCTGTCCTTAAAGACACAAGACTCTATTTTTTCCTTTTCTGGATTCCAAGTACTGGGTGTAATAAAGTTATTCAGTGAACATCTTATTTTTTAGTTCAGACAATTCCAATTTCAACATCTAATGAAAATGGTACAAATCTTTAATGTAACTTTCAAAAATATTCTACACACCACCTATTTTTTTTGCCACTTTTATTTCTATTAAAATGATCAAAAGAACCACACTTATTAAGTCTAAGAAGGAATAAAACTGTAACATAGTTCACTGTCTAAAATCACACCAACCCATAATTCCAATCCTGACACATGTTCTCCCAATTAGTATTCACTAAATCAATTCATTTTAATCAAGGATTGTCCATTAAAAATCAACTCCAAACCAGAGAGTTTATGACATAATTCTAGAATTATCTCTTATCAGAAACAGTGATATGATAAACCATAAAGAAATAATATTTCTGGAACACCAAGAAGTGAAAAGGTACTTCTTAATTATGATTGAAGATGAACAATACTCACTTTAAATATTTAGATAGGTCATCACTTAATTCTTTAGTGATGTAATCAGATATCAGGCCATGGGCATAACGAATATAGTCCTCTGAAAGAAACAGAAGCGTAAAAAAAAAAATTATAGTAATAATTATGAAAGATTTAAAGCCAAATTGATCAGAGTTCAAATTCTTACTTTATTTGGCCTTAAAAACTCAAGCTTCTCACCTGTTTCCTTATATGTAAAATGGGGATGCTAATGTATATCTGTCAGAGTAGTGAGGTGATATGATGGATGAATATATAAGATATCCAAGATATGATCATGTAATATAAGTATACAACACAGTAGATGTCCATTAAATTACAGATAAAGCCCAAATTCTGGGTTGTTTTCATAGTTGAGGCCCTTGAATACAAATAAAGTTTAAAAATAAGCTATAACAATATGATTTTGTTGTCCAACTGTCCTCCCCTGCAGGCTTGGTCCCCCCGAATTGCCCTTCTCTGACAACCATCTTGTAGCAGTCATCTTGTGTCCACATGGGGGCGGCCATCTTTGACCACATGGGGGTGGCTATCTTGTGTGCTAGGAGTGATGGTCAATTTGCATATTATTTCTTTATTATACACTGAACCAGACCCAGTGGATAGAGCGTCGGCCTGTGGACTGAAAGGCCCCAGGTTCAATTCCGGTCAAAGGGCATGTACCTTGGTTACGGGCACATCCCCAGTAGGGGGTGTGCAAGAGGCAGCTGATCGATGATTCTCTCTCATCAATGTTTCGAACTCTCTATCCCTCTCTTTTCCTCTCTGTAAAAATCAATAAAATATATTTTAAAAAATATTATACACTGAGTGGTCAGGTTATTATGATCTCTGAATGCATAATAATCTGGCCACTCAGAGTGTGTGTGTGTGTGTGTGTGTGTGTGTGTGTGTATGTATGTGTGGGTATGTGTGTATATATATATATTAGAGGCTCTGTGCATGAATTTGTGCATGGGTAGGGTCTGGCAAGCCTGGCCAGGGGGAGGGGACATGGATGGTTGGCTGGCCTGCCTGCTGGTCAAACTACTGGTCAAGGGGACAATTTGCATATTAGCCTTTTATTATATAGGCTATACACTGAGTGGCCAGATTATTATGCATTCAGAGATAATAATAATCTGGCCACTCAGTGTAAAGAATATTCTTCCAAACTAATAAAATGCAAAAGACAAACAAACCAACAAAAACTAAACTCAGCAGATTGATTTTAAAGCATTTGGATCCTTGGTACTGAGTGTTAATTAAATGCAGTTACATAAGACAATAAAATCTGTTTTAAAGCTTTGTTCCTTAATTTAGTATTTTATACAAGGTATAATCAAATTTAACCATAAGATGGAATAATCACATTGGGATATAAACTATCAATATCCCAGGTTTATTGCTAAGACATTTATTAGCTTCTTTTTTTCTTTCTCTTCTACCTTCAAGTTAAGGTAACAATTTGTCTCAGTATTTGTTAGAAAGTGTCTGCTTCTTGAATCACCTGATCTCAAAAAGTCTTCAGTAAGATATTTTTACTGCTAATGTAGAAATGGAACACTTCTCAAAATGTGCTCATGGTTCTGAGCTAGCAATTATTCAATGAGTCATGAATGGACAAAGCAATTTTAAAAATGTCATCATATCCTTTGTTTGATTCTTCTGGTAGCATATCAAGCTAAAGATCTTGAAAAAGGAACTAGCACAAAGAGTGGCTGGGAGACTAAATTGCAATATATTCTTACACTTACTAGTAGAGATTAATAAAAACACTGTACTGGGAGCAGATGACCTGGCCTCAGCAAAGATGGTGACCTGGAATAGTCATCCACTTCTGAGACTACAAATTCTCATTTTGTATTTATTTATTTTTTTAATCTTTATTGTTGAAAGTATTACATATGTTCCCTTACTCTCCCATTGACCCCCTCCACCAAACCCACCCCAGGCCCTCACCACCCCACTGTCTGTATCCATGGGTTATACATATTTGCATACAAGGTCTTTGGGTGATTACCTCCTACACACCCACCCTCCCTGCCTTCTCTCTAAGATTCCATATTCATGCTTCCATGCCTCTAGATCCACTCAGTTCATCAGTTTACTTTGTTAGATTCCATATATAAATAAGATCATCTAATACTTCCCTTTCTCTGACTATTTTCACTTAGCATGATGCTCTCCAGGTCCTTCCACGTGATCTTAAAGGGTAAGCAATTCTTTTTTAATGTTACATAGTATTCCATGTTATAAATGTACCATAGTTTTTTATCTAATCATCTACTGATGAGCATTGGGCTGTCTCCAGAGCTTAGCTATTGTAAATTGTGCTGTTGTTGAACGTACAGGTGCACTCATTCTTTCTGACTGGTGTTTCTGATTTCTTAGGATATATTCCTAGAAGTGGGATCACTGGATCAAATGGCAGTTTCACATTTAAGTTTTTGAGGAAACTCCATACAGTTTTTCATAAGGGCTGCACCAGTCTGCATTCCCACCAGCAGTGTACTAGGATTTCCTTTTTTTTCACATCCTTGTCAACACTTGTCATTTGTTGATGGTAGTCATTCTGACAGGTGTGAGGTGATACCTCATTGTCATTTTAATTTACATCTCTCTGATAATCAGTGAACTTTGAACATGCCTATTGGCCATCTGAATGTCCCCTTTTGAAAAATGTCTATTTAGGTCTTTTGCCCATTTTTTAATTGAATTGTCTTCCTTCTGTTAAGTTGCATGTCTTCCTTATTTATTTTGGATATTAATCCTTTATCAGACGTATCATTGCCAAATACATTCTCCCATACAGTGGGCTCTCTTTTCATTTTGTTGATTGCCAGAAGCCAATTTCAACATGTCAGCATCCTTGAATCATCTGAGATGGCTGAGGACATCTCCCCCAAACCTAAATAGGATAATTGCTTGCTGCCAGACAGCTCAGAGCATTTTATTGCCTCCTGATGGCCGAACACCTGAACAGCTGTAGGCTATTCCCCAAACTGACAATGCTTCTGTACCCTTTGAAACCTTATCCTTTGAAGTGTATTATGTCCACTTTGCCTTAGGACAGTGGTCAGCAAACTGCAGCTCTTGAACCACATGCCACAGTTTGCCATTCTGTTGACTATTGAGTTTGCTGACCACTGCTATAGGACAAATTGTGTTAATAAATAGCGAGAGGTCCTTAGACAAGAGGTAGCTTCAGTTTCTTTAGCTGAAGATCCTCTGACATCCAATACCTTTCAAAATTATCTTTCGTCATTGGAATCCTTGAATCTACACATCAGTTCCTTTCTCCAGATTGCTGAACCCTTTGTAAGGCTGGGGCAAGAACCTCGGCAGTTGATGGTTTCTTTTGCTGTGCAGAAACTTTTTATTTTGATGTAGTCCCTTTTGTTTATTTTCTCCTTAGTTTCCTTTGCTCTAAGAACAGTGGTTCCCAATGTGGGGCACACGCCCCACAGGGAGCAATTTAATTTTTAAGGGCGGCAATTCGAGAATGAGTTATTAACAGTGAGTTTTATGCACTTCTTATGTTCTAGGGCCTCATATACAGTATATGAATACACACTGTGTCATATTTATGCATTTCAGTTCTATATTATATGCTTTGAAACTTTATTTGCTATTTTTTCATATCACTTCATATTGTTGTTATTATTTTTTAAACAATTTCTAGGTGATATCTTCATCAGTACTTCAACTGTCCTTTTGTTCTTTTAGTTTTCTCTTTCCTGGACATGTTCTCTGGAAGCTTGTTTAGACCAAGTTTATGGCCTTTTAGGCTTCCTCCACCACATGAAGAGAAATAATAAGAATTATATATCACAAAAGGGCAACAGGATTTTAGAGATGCTTAGGTAGGGCATGGCCAAAAAACGGTTGGGAATCACTGCCCTAGGAGATGTATTCATAAATGTATTGCTACAAGAGATGTCTGAGATTTTGCTGCCTATAGTTTCTTCTAGGATTTTTATGGTTTCCTGATTTACATTGAAGTACTTTATCCATTTTGAGTTTATTATTGTGTATGGTGGAAGTTGGTGGTTTAGTTTCTTTTTTCCTTTTATTTTACTTAATTTTTTTATGCTTTTACCTAATTTTCCCAACACCATTTATTAAAGAGTTTGTCTTTCCTTCATTGTATACTCTTATCTCCTTTGTCAAATATTAATTGATCATGATGACCTGGGTTGATTTCTGGGATCTCTGTTCTGATCCATTTATCTATATGCCTATTCTTGTGCCAGTACCAGGAAGTTTTGATTATGGTGGCTGTGTAGTATAACTTGATATCTGGTATTGTGATTTCTCCAACTATGTTCTTCTTTTTCAAGACTGCTATAGCTACGGGGATCTCTTTTGGTTTTATATAAATTTTTGGAGTATCTGTTCCAGATCTGTGAAATATGCCATTACTATTTTAATAGGAATTGCATTGAATTTGTAGATTGCCTTTGGTAGTATGGACATTTTAATGATGTTGATTCTACCAATCCAATGAACACAGTATACTACTCAACATGTTTATATCTTCTTTTATCTCTTTTTAATGTCCTGTAGTTTTCCGAGTACAAGTCTTTTACATCTTTGGTTAAGTTTATTCTATAGTATCTTAATTTTTTTGTGGCAATGGTAAATGGGATTTTTGTTTGTTTCTCTTTCTGATAATTTATTATTGATGTATAAAAAAGTCATCAATTTTTGGGTATTGATTTTGTATCTTTCTACATTACCAAATTAATTAATTAAATCTAGTATTTTTTGTGTGGATTCTTTAGAGTTTTCTATGTACAATATTATATCATCTGTGAATAATGAGAATTTTGCTTCTTCCTTTCCAATTTGGATATCTTTTATTTCTTCTTCTTGTCTGATTGCTGTGGCTAGTACTTCCAGTACTATGTTGAATAAGAGTGTTAAAAGCAGACATCCTGTCTTGTTCCTATTCTTAGGGGAAATGGTTTTAATTTTTTTCCCACTGAGTATGATGCTTGCTATAAATTTGTCATATATAGCCTTTATCATGTTGAAATATGCTCCCTTTATTCCCACTTTGCTGAGAGTTTTCATCAAAAATGGTGTTGGATTTTGTCGAATGTTTTTCTGCATTGATTGATATGATCATGTGATTTTTTTGTCTTTCAATTTGTTTATGTGATGTGTCATGTTTATTGATTTGTGAATATAGTACCGGCCTTGCATCCTTGGAATAAATCACACTTGGTCACAGGTATGATCTTTTTAATATATTGCTAGATCTGACTTACTAATATATTGTTGATATCTCTATTCCTTTATGTTTTCTTCTGGAGAATTCTTTGATTCTTTCATTTGGGAGTTGTTTCTTTGACTCCTCATTATTGCTGCCTGTTTGGGTTACAGTGTTTCCCAAACTTTTGCCATATGTGTATCCCTTCTATAATTTTCATAACGCTGAATACCCCTCGTACTCATGAGAATGTAGAATTAGGTGCAGCTAAGCACGGTGCAGTGCATATCCCCACCAAACTCCAGTGCAATGTGTACCTGGGGGTACGAGTACCATACTTTGGGAAACACTGATGTATTAGATAGATCTGCTACGCCTCTCAATCTCTAGTGCAGAATAGTGTCAAATGCTATTTCTGACTAATTAGATCAGGCCAAGACTCAAAGACTCCAGAGACCACCTCTGCCTACAGACTTATAGGATTTTATCTTGAATAGCCCTCAGGCAATTGTCCACAGGTGTAGTGAAAGTTTTTTCAACAGGGCAGGGCAATTGCTTCTGCCTGGAGGCTAACTGCTATTTTTAATCTTTTAATGGGCCTCAGATACTCTGGTGTTTTCCAATAGAGTGGATCAACCATCTTCCCCCATAGGTAAAACCGCTTAGATTACAACTGTCTTCATGAGAAAGATGACCTCCGCAATGTGAGGGAATGAGTCAGCACAGGAAACCAGGGTGTCGGCCTTTTGGTTTCTAATCCCAGAACCACCGACCCTGGCTTCTCACACAGCTCAAGTCCACTATGTCCTCCCTCTGCCAAAGTACCAGGTGAGTAGCTCCAGAGGAAATTTTGTGTGTTGGCCCTTTAAGAGTATGCTTGCATTTCTATCCATCTCTCCCTAGTAGTCAGCGACCCCACTGCTTTTCACAGCCAGGTGTTATGTGGGTATCATTCTCAGTTCTGGTGCTCTCTGCTGAAAGGCCCAGCTTGGGGATTAGACCCTAGATTTCTCAGTGGCAACCTGCACAGCTGAGATATCTCATGTGGAAGTCCAGGACTTCACTGTGGGAGCCGAGCCAGCCCTTTTGCGCCTCCATCCCTCCTATCAGTCTCTATATGGTCTCCACTTTCTATGCTTGGTTTTCAGGGTTCTCTCCAGTGAGTCTTCAGTTAATTATTCAGAAAGTATTTCTATATTTTAGTTGTAATTCCACTTTGGTCCTGGGAGCATGTCCATACAACATCCACTTACTTCACCAACATTTTTAATCATTCAATTTTTCATTTTTTAAACTGACATCTGCCTAAATAACCCCTAATATTGCTTCTCGTACTAAAATAAATAAATAAATAAATAAATAAATAAATAAATAATAAATACTATGGTTTTATCCATTTATCTGTCCACTTATCTGTTAAAACCTTTCCTTTTGTTAAAACCAACCAAAGAACCTGATGGCAGCTGGTATAGGGAGGGTACTGTCCACCACTCCCAGAATGGCTGGAGCTAGCTATCATCTGTCTGTGCAAGGTGTTCAAGGCATATTTCTGCAAATCAAAGACTGCTTCAATTATGATAAATCACAAACAGAGCACTGTTTCTAATTTTTACATTTTAATGACTAAAGTCAGGTGTTTCACAATTGTATACCCAGAATAGAAGAACTCTGAGCTGAAGGTTAAAGTCAGAATAATTTCTGCCCCACCATTTGAGAATGTTAATTGCATTATATAGCTGTTTTTATTCAATAAGTAAGGTATATTACACTAGAAAAAGCAAAATAATGCACTTTAATAATCCCAAAAAATAAAAAATTGCTAAATGAATTAATTTTTACCTAAAATTGAAGTACTGAGACCTAATGTAGGACAAATGCTTCTTTAGAGAAAGATGCAAACAGATGAAGCTCATTAAAAAGCTTGTACCACACAAATAATAAACAAGAAGCTTGAGTATGGGCTTAGGACTAAACCAGCTCCTTAGTAGCTTAGCTTCACCATTTTACCAGCAATGCAACTTTGGACAGAGCCTCAAGAATGAGACTTATTGGAGTCAGGTAAGATAATGTGTGTATACTGGCAACTTAGCAAAAGGCTTGGCATATGATACACTCTCAGTAAATGAAAGGCAGATCTGTTAGGGTTGTTATTATTAGTGCAAAATAAACGTTTGCTGAATGAATGATTTAAAAGTATCCATTAGTGACAGACGTGACCTATGGTAGAAACATTACATGGTTCTGAAATATTATAAAATGCACACCTGTCACAAGATGAGAAGACATGGTAAGAATGTAAAGCTTCTGAAACATTAAGATTTTAAAATCATAAGGTAGGCATTTATAACATCAGCATCATACTTAAGAATACTTTCTGATGAGTCTATTTACTTACCTTCCCTGTCACTGGAAATCTGGTGACCGGAGAAAAATGCAGCTGATTGTACCCGGGCACCAACATTTATGCTATTGTTTTTTAATGCTGCCACAGTCTGATTAACCTATTAAATAACCAAAAGGGGAACATTAGGGTATTTTGAACTAACTCCAGAAATCTACAACTTTCCAGATCAGTCTTCAATTCATTTAAGATCCAGGAAGAAATATTTCTTCAAGAGATATAAGAAGGTGAGAGACAGCTGCATGTTTGGAAAAGGGTTGAGCAGCAGCCATAGCATTTCAGGATGATCTCTAGATACTTCTTAGGGCTTCACAATAGAGAGCACTGACTCTGGAACCAGGCTGCTTGCTTGGTTTTGCTCTGTGACCATGGGCTAATTACTTAACCTTTCAGTAAAATGGGGATAAAAACAGTATCTACCTCATAGGATTGTTATAAAGATTAAATGAGTTAATATACAGGATGGGGCAAAAGTACATTTATAGTTGTTTGTATGGGAAAAAATACAAATTAATAGATAATAATACAAAAATAAACTCTGTTTCACATACTCAAAACTGCAAACTTACTTTTGCCCCACCCTGAATGTAAAGGCCCTTACATCAGAACCTGGCATAAAGTTTATATATAATAATTTTCTAAACAATGTAAATAATTAAATTCCCAAATCCTAGGAATTTAAGAAAGGAAACATAATAAATATAAATTTCACTTTGCTATTCATGTCATTATTATTTGTTAAGAGCAAAACTAAACGTCCAGATTCTGTTCAGTACACTCATTCTTTACTAATACCATGTTTCCCCAAAAATAAGACATCCTCCGAAAAATAAGACCTAGCATATGGAAAGATAAGACATCCCCTGAAAATAAGACCTAGCGCAACTTTGGGAGAAAAAATTAATATAAGACACTGTCTTATTTTCGGAGAAACAGGGTAGGTGAATGAAAAGTGAAACATAGAGGCACCTTTAAATTTTTTTCACTATGCTGTACAGTAGGAGCCTAATTAATTTTACTTTTATAGGTTCGTTTCCATGCTCCCAGGCAAGAACGTCTTTCATTCAGTGGTGAAGATCATGGGAAAATGGGGGTGCAGGTCAAAACAACAACAAAAAAACCACCTAGGAAACTTCAGAGACATGAGTTAGGGAGGATGAAAAGTGAAAGATTTATTAGTTGGAAATACAAGATAGTCTTTGGTTTACGACTTAGCACATTCTCTAGTTTTAAAAAGGTGTACTGAATTCTTTCTGCCATAGGCACTAGAGAAGTACTATACCTTTTTTTCCAGCCACTTTAATGTCTTCTCTTTGCTGTACTTGTAATATTTCTTTTTGCCTATTTCTGGGTTAAATTAAAAGAAAGAAGAAAAAAAAAAAAGACTGAGCATAGTACATTAAAGAGAAATAAAATGCATAAGGTTATATCACATACAACAGGAGTGGGGAATGTCTGGCCCCAGGGCCACATAAGGCCTGCAAAATAATTTGGTCTGGACCTGTCAAGGCATTAGGGGTTAATTAAATGTTTGACCAAACATAGCAGGGTAATTTTTAAGTTGATAATTTTGTATGGCCCACAAATTATGTTATAAATATACAAATGGCCCTTGACAGAAAAAAGGTTCCCTACTCCTGATGTACAAGATAATTTTAAAATATTTTATATTAGTGTATATTCTTGAAAAATGCAATTTGCAAACCTGTGAGTGTACTTGAGACATTAAAAAAAATTCCAAAATAGCCCTGGCTAGGTGGCTCTATTGGTTGGAGTGTCTTCCAATACACAAAAGGTTGTGGGTTTGATTCCCATTCAGTGCACATACCTAGGTTGCTGGTTAAGTCTCAGTTGGGGTAAGTGTGGTAGGCAACTTATCGATGTTTCTCTCTCATATCCATATTTCTTTCCCCCACCCATCTCTAAAAATTAATAAGCATATCCTTAGGTGAGAATAAAAAAAAAAATCCAGAACAGAATTTGGTTGGAAGTATCCAACCATTAAAGGAGTGGGAATTTAAACAAATTGGACTATACACACAAATCTGTAGAAAAGATAATTTTTTAAACAGAAAATTAGCAAGTGAAGAAAAGTTCATTTCTCTGCATATATTTAAGCTCACTTCAAAGTTTTCAATAAAAGACTACTTTTCTAAAATAAAAACAAAAATCCCATAAAAGAAAATTGAAATTAAATGCAGATGCCTATGAACATTCTTTTATCAAATATACATTGTTAACTACTCAGTACTTAGTGAAGAAAAAAAGAAAAGACAGATCTTTCTTTCACTGTATTCCAGTATAACCATTGCCATTTTGAGGGAATTTAGATTTACGATATGTTCAACCTAGCCCGTTTATATAAGGGATAAAAGTTCATGTCTTATAATTTATACTTCCTGTCCTCACAATCTACCTAGCATTACCTACCATGTCAGTGAACTACTATTTCCTGGGGAACTCTTCCTTCATGGGGAGTCTTGGTTTCTGTGCACTCAGTGCAGGGGCACTTCCACTCCCACTTCCTGCCCCCAGGAATCATCCTGTGACCACTGGATAAGGGCAGATGCAAACTCCAGCTTATGGCTATGTCACAGCCATCTTAGATTACATAGAATGACGTTTTCTCTTTCTTTCTTCTGTAATAGTAGTGGGAAATGGAAACTACCCTATTTTTCCAGGTATAAGACACCCCCATGTATAAGGAGCCCTCAACTTTTCCAACCCAAAATTAAGAAATCAATATTTTAAACATTTTGCTGGTTTTCCTCTTAAGGCCTTCTTCTTTTTTGGCATCTTAAGGAGTTGTTCTTCCTGTTTTCTCCACTGTCTGATCATACACTCAGTGGGAAGAGGTCCAAATTGTCTCTCTGCAACTCTATTTCCATTCTCTTTTGCATAGTGATTACATTCAGTTTGAATTTTGCAGAGTAAGACAATCATTTACCAGAATTTATCTTTTTATTTTTGACATCTGTATGGGCGTTCCCTGTTGCATCTGTGCACTCTCCACCTCCACCTCCAATTATGGCATTAGTTGAAGTCAGTAACAATAAGGCTCGTGATTGGAGGAAGCCTGTTTGACTTGTCAGTTTGCCTTTGTAGCTGGAATATCTGAGGCACTTCGTATACTCCAGTGTGGCTCCCTCCTCAGCTGACTTGCATATGTAAGTCACCCCTTGATTTTCAGTCTAGTGATTTTAGAAAAAAATGGCGTCTTATACATGAAAAAATATGGTACAGGGGTCACTTTACTACAGTCTGTTAATTGCTTGAGTTCCACCAAATGGTTTGCATGGGGAAGGGGCTGGCAGGTCCATGGCCCTAGGACAAATACATTTTCTCCCCATTTTAGCCTGTGGTTGTCAACATTGTGGGCTCTAGAAAGCAGGATAGAGTGGGAAGCCAGATCTATGCTCCTCTCTCCTCAGGACCTGTCACTAAATAACAAAAAGGAGGCACTGTTAATGGTATCCTTTCAGAAATTTGAGAATTTCAAGATGCAAGGAGCGAGGACTGCCTGGGCAAATAGCCTGTTGTAGAACCGAACTAGAGGAGACTAGACCCATCTTCTCTGGAGACAATGTCCCACCCACATACATTAGGGCAGTGGTTTGCAACCCATAGGTTGAGAACTGCTAGCAGGGTTGCCTAGGACCATCGGAAAACACAGATATTTACATTATGATTCATAACAGAAGCAAAATTACAGTTATGAAGTAGCAATGAAAATAATTTTATGGTAGGGATCACCACAACCATAAAATTAAAGGGTCGCGGCATTAGAAAGGTTGAAAATCACTGCATTAGGGGAATTCTAAGAGCAATGCTGCAATCACTCAAAAAATGTACACTGTTCATTGGACTTTAAAAGTGCTGTTCATTACCTAAACAAATAATCACTAAAGAAGCTCAGGTCTCTCTTAAGAAATCCTAATTTGGCTACTCACTTCGTTCTTATCTCTATCTCCAAATTCCCTGAAAGAATGTTCTACAATCTGCCCATTTCCTTCCTCCCTCCCATTCCCTGTGCCCCTCGCAGGCTATTCTTTCCCTCTTGAAAATGCTCTTTCAGAAGAAGAGTCAGTCTCTGAACCATATTTCCTGGGTTCCCATACTCGCAGAGCACAATTCACATTGGGTAGTCACTTAATAAATGGGATGATCCATACAAATCCGATTGCACAACACCAGGCACATGACAAATACGTAATATTAGTTAAGAACAAATGAGAACTGACAATCTGTTCACGATAATAGCATCTGAAACTAATGTACATTCAGGCCTGTTCTACATTCTTTTCTCTTTAAAAAATATTTTTATTAATTTTTAGACAGAAGGGAAGGGAAAGAGAGATACATTGGATTGAGAGAGTGAAACATCACTTGGCTGCCTCCTGCATGGCCACTACCGGTGGGGCAGGAGTTGAGCCTACAACCCTGACATGTACCCTGACCAGAAATCGAACCAGCAACCTTTCCGTACAAGAGATGACGCCCAACCAACTGAGCTACAATGCCAAGGGGCTGTGCTACCTTCATTATACACAGTTTTTTCACTGAATGCTCAGAATGAATGGCTAGTTCAAAGGCTTATTTGTCCCCATCTTAATGGACTGGGCGTGAGTGAAGTTCAATAAATTGTTCAGAGTCACTGAGCTAGTAAGCAGGAGCATCAGGATTCCTTTTCAAGCTGGCTGCAAGCTGTGGGTCTGATGCTCATTTTACCAAAATCAATTAGCTCCTCATTCAACTGCCTAAGTACTTGTAACCCTGTTATTTGCTGGTAAAAAACCTCTCCACCAAGCTTCTATAAAACCTTTCTCTCAGTTTTTCTATATCTCTGATGACTTTTCCTCGGATTCTTTCCTAGCTCTCCTTCCTCCTCCTCTGAGACTAATTGTTCCTTAATCCAGTCCCAGCAACACTAAATAAACCCAACCAGGAAGCCCGCAAGTCCTGAGCTGGTGTCCTGAGCGCCTAAAGCCAAACCGTGCACCCTCCTCACAAACAGCCCTCCTGGACACTCAGCCTCGAATCTCAGAGCCAGTACTCACTCCTGTCTTCCTCCCCACATCCCATCACTAGACTCCACAAGAGAAGGGAAGGAGCAACATTACCTTGTAGAAGACAATGGGGAAGGAAAAAGCAAACAAGGAAAAAACTGTCAGAAATCAGCAGGTTTAGCTTCTTGTGCTGGATCAGTAATTACTTCATTAAAAAAAAAATTATCTTGCCCTAACAGGTTTGGCTCAGTGGATAGAGCGTCAGCCTGTGGACTAAAGGGTCCCAGGTTTGATTCTAGTCAAGGGCATGTACCTTGGTTGTGGGCACATCCCCAGTGGGAGCGTGTAGGAGGCAGCTGATCGATGTTTCTAACTCTCTATCCCTCTCCCTTCCTCTCTGTAAAAAAATCAATAAAATATATTTTAAAAAATAGGATCATGAATGTTTCAGCTGTTGATTTTTATGTTACAAGATCTATATATTGCACAGTGTGCCCACCACTCAAAGTTAAATAATCTTTTGTCAATATACTTACCTTTAAAATTCACAAATTTTTATAAGCAATGTTTAAAATACTCATGAAGGCCACAGATTACCCATGTCCTAAATTTCATACTTGAGAGTTAGTGATTAGATAATATGCACATATGCTGGAAAGGTTTCTTTCCCTCATGTGTCTGGTAACTATAAAACTGGTTTCAAAATATCTCGAAAGATTGGGCTTACAAAATAAAGAGAGCATAAAAGTGAGTTCACTATTAAATAACATGTTCAGCAATTGGATAATCTGTTCACAAACTTGAATTTTCCTGATGGATTGTAGAACAAACTGCCTAGAGCACATTTTTAGATCTATTTTCTCAATGTTTCCTACAATTGAGAAACTCATATGGTCTCTTTTTTCCCCTGCCTCCTGGGGATAGAAACTTGGCAACTGCACTCGGGACATTTTAATCAGGTAAGTTTTCCTGACTTCCTGTTAATCACACTAGACAGCACAGTGTTGCTTTTGCTTGCAGTATGAAACAGAGTGTTACACTCAAGACGAAGTTCATAACCCTTTATAGTCCTTTCCCCTGTCATCTCTCCATGACTGTGAGCTCCTTTGGCAAGAAACGTGCTGAGCCTCAGAGCTAGCAAACAGAAACATATAATTTCCTTCACTAATAAAACTGGCAGTGCTAACTAAGGTCACTGCCATCATCATTCAGGATACAAACAACTGTGGCAGGGCATATTTGGCAAGGAGAAGGCAAGGGAGGAAGGTTTTCATAAAACTAGAAGATGTAACAAGATCTTTAATGACATAATCTTTTAAGACAGCATCTGGAGTCCAATATCAAAATAGTTGGCAGGGTAATTTGAGTTTTGAGCTTTTACACTATTTGCTCAGTGCCTGTGGAGAGGATGAAAGTTAAAAAAATAGCAGCTTTCTTCTTTATCTTTGCTCCTTATCATGGATATTACCTGACCACTCTTGAGCAGTCTTCTTTGCTTCTTTAAAAACTAGACGCCTGCCAAAGCAGGTTTGGCTCAGTGATAGAGCATCGGTCTGCGGACTGAAGGGTACCAAGTTCGATTCCGGTCAAGGGCATGTACATTGGTTGTGGGCACATCTCCAGTAAGGGGTGTGCAAGAGGCAACTGGCCAATGTTTCTCTCTCATCGACGTTTCTAGCTCCCTATCTCTCTCCCTTCCTCTCTGTTAAAAAAAAATCAATAAAATATATATTTAAAACAAACAAACAAACAAAACAAAACAAAAAACTAGATGCCTGGTGCATGAAATTTGTGCATGGGGGAGGAGGTGTCCCTCAGCTGGGCCTGCAATGACACAAGCATTCCACGTCCAGAGTGGCCAGAGGCCCTCTGTGGCCAGGTGTGGAATGCTTGCCTCATCACTTTGGCGACAAGGCAAGCATTCTCACCGCCTTCCCGACCACTCCGTGCCCACTGACAGGAGGCCCTCTGTGGCCGGGGTAGATAGCTTGCGTTGTTGCTGTAGTAACAAAGCAAGCATGCCGCCAGGCCTCTCACACTGCCTGCTCTCAGCCACCACCCCCACGGCCCCTGGAGTTCCAGCAGGGCTGAGAGAACTGGGCACCGCCATCTTTGTAGCAGAGTGACTGTCAATTTGCATATTCCCTCTTTATTAGATAGGATCTCAGCAATAAAATGCAAAGAATAGAACCAACAACTTATAAATGGACAATCACCCCAAATCAAATAAGCAGCCAGCACCCAAGGCAATCACTACAACAGGATAACACGGTGCCTTGAGTACAGAAAGCTCATTGCTAAGATTAGTAAAAATGCCTTTTCTTACTCAATTAAAGTTTTGTCTGTCCCTCTCTTATAGCCTCACAAAAGGAAATTAAGAGGTCAAACAAGATTTTTAAAAAGTTTCTATTTTTACATATGACAATACCTAAGTATTCTAACAGTATTGTGGAAGCGTTAACATAGTGGTAAGAAGAAAGGTTTGGAAATAGAAATAAAGAATTTACTAGCAGGTAAATTCTCCAAAGATAAAGGTGAAGGAATTTATTCACTGATATATTTTAAGCTCCTACCGTAGTCCCTGCCATAGGATAAACTTTCAGAGAGTATTTGTTAAATGACTGAATGATAGCCAGGACCGTTTTGGCTCAATGGATAGAACATCGGCTTGGGGACTAAAGGGTCCCGGGTTCAATTCCGGTCAAGGGCATGTACCTTGGTTGCAGGCATATCCCCAGTAAGGGGTGTGCAAGAGGCAGCTGATCGATGACTCTCTCTCATTGATGTTTCTAACTCTCTATCTCTCTCCCTTCCTCTCTGTACAAAATCAATAAAATATATATTTTTTAAAAAAATGATTGAATGATAAATAAATGAAAGAAAAATGCTATTTTCACACACAAATTAACCTAATCTGGACAATCTGCTGTGATTTTGCCTTTCTGAGTTTGTAAAGAAGTTGATTATCTGATGCCAAATAAGTGCATATAAAGAGATACCTTTATTTATTTATTAAAATATATTTTATTGATTTTTTTACAGAGAGGAAGAGAGAAGGATAGAGAGTTAGAAACATCGATGAGAGAGAATCATCAATCAATTGCTTCCTGCACATCCCCTACTGGGGATGTGCCCGCAACCAAGGTTTATGTCCTTGACCAGAATCAAACCCGGGAGCTTTCAGTCCACAGGCCGACGCTCTATCCACTAAGCCAAACCGGTTTTGGCAAAAAATAAAGTAAAAAGGCTAAGAGTTATTGTCATACAGACAGAAAGATATGAATTCAAATCTCAATTCTATCACTTCAAGTTCTAGGATTTTCAACTGTGTTAACAAAATTAAAATGAATTATAATTATTCCTCATTGCTTTAGCTTTCAGAAATGAGCTACACATTTGTCACCAGAAAAAGACTGCTCTCTCCTGCCAAACTCAGATCAGGGAATGTGTTTAATGGACTGCTTTGATAAAGCCTTGGCACCACACATCCCTCAGATACAAAATGGAGTGTTAGGTCTGGCCAAGTGTGAACTTAGTAGACCCCTCAAATGTAAAATGCTATCAATGAGGTTCTCCCCTTTCCCACTGTAAGCTTACACTTCTGGGAATCACCACTTTCTTGGTCCCAGAACTGTCATAGTTGGCCAAACTATCTGTAACCCCAAACAACCACAACTTTTGTTATAGTCCCTGTATGGTTTCCATATTAACCCTGAACTTACTTGGGGCACTGATGCTAAATTTGTATAGTACTTCTAACTGTTCAAAACACATTCACACACACTGCCTCACTTTTTCCTTTCAAATTCCAGAGAATAATACCTAAAATTCATCTCTTCTTACCCCCAACCTGCTCCTCCCACCCATGTTTCCTGTCTCCAGGATGCTACTACTATACAACCTGCTGGTCAAGAGACAAAACCAGAAGTCATCCTTGCCTTCTCCTTCTCCTTGATTACTATCCAATTACCAAATGAGTTGGTTCTACTTTCAAATTGCTGATTATTTCTAATTCCATTTCATAAGGTCAGGCTACAGTCATCCTCTGCTTGGATCACTGCAATGGCCTCTGTGAATCTGGCCTCGGCTTCTCCAATATACTCCACTCTATGGTACTTTTTGCTTAAATTTTTGCTGACACTCCTGTAGGTAAAGTCCAGATAAATATAATGCCCTTCACCACTGGAAGGAGCCCTTGCCCAATATTCCACCCCATTTCTTCCTTACTAAATCCATGCCTGACATCCTATATTTTGGACGCACTGAACTTCTTGGGATTTCTTGAATGTGACACATTTTCAATACACCCATGCCTCTTTTTTGATGCTATTCTGACGTTATCCTTCAGGACGCCACTTATAGGTCAATCCCTCTAAGGAGAGAAACACAATACTCAATGACCTGCATTCCCACCCAACCCAGGCCAGGTTATAAACCTGTCCTGTAGAACCCCAGAAACCCGAGATCACTTCCACTAGTCCCTATTGTTTGCCTTACTCATCGTTTGCTCCTATCACACTGAAAGCTAAATGAGAGAAAGAATGATGTCTTATTTATAAGTACATATTGCCAGAACTAGCACCAGTGCTCAATGTGTTTCTTAGTAGATGCTCAATAAATACTTCTTGAATCAATAAAAGTATAGGTTTTATGTAATTTTACAAATGAGAAATATGAGTAAGAAAGCAGTTCAAGTCACAGACTAATTCAAAGAACTGAATCAGCCCAATTCTTGCAAATCCTGGCCCTGTAAGAAACAAGCCACCACATTTCGCTGGTCGGAAGGTTAAAGACTGAACAATCCAAAGCACCAGAGGACTGGAATTGACAACTGGGAGCGAAATCTGAATGACAGTTTCCCCTATGACCCACATGGCCTAAGCATCACCCTCAGCGGCCTTCAGGCAGCTCCATTCTCAGGCAGGTGCCCGCCCTTCCAGTAGCCATCAGCCTGATTTCATAGTTGGCCAAACTGTCTGTGACCCCAAACAACCACAACTTATCAGCCTGTTGTGGTCCCTGATGACTACCTTTTTCCTCTGTCACGTGTCGAAGTAACTTCTCAAGTTCAGGAAGTTTCAGCAACAAGATGCAATTCGGAAACACATCATCCACCACAACTTGATCTAGAGGCTGAAACTTGCCCTGAAAAAAAAGACTTTAATCAGTAAGAATGCAAGCACACTAGTCAATAAATCCACACATTAAAAAAAAAAAAAAAAAAAAAGATATATTACCCCATAGCTGGACTTTTAAACCAAGTTCAAAGTCATGTGTTCACCTAAGGAATCCCTAAACTGGGACAGGCTCCAGAATTGGCTCTCTGCTCCCCTTTAGGAGGCCCTTGAAAGAGTTTCAACCTCATGAGTACAATAACTAGATAAAACCGGGCAGCAAAGTTCTGAAAAAGTACTGGAGGTTATGGAAACTTGTAAAGATGGTAGATTACCTGGGGCTGGTCTAACCCATTTAATTTGAAAAAGAGCCAGCTGATGTTACAGAGCAGGAGTCTTGCCCATAACCAGAAATAAGCCTACATCGAGCCCAGCGTGTACATCTCCTCTCCCCTCCTCGCATCTCCAGTGTTTTAAACATCACAAAAAAAGAAACATAGCAAAAGTGAATCTACTCCTGTCAGAACTGTCTGACAATGATTCCAAATTTAGGCCATAATGAAAGAAGAGATAGGGGGATGAACGTAAGGACTTGCAAACACATTAAATCAGGCTCAGCTTGATAAATATACGTGGCCTGGTAGCCAAGTGCAGGACACAGAAATCCAAATCATCCTTCACCTCAATCAGGTTTAGTTTTTCTTACCTTGACTGACCTGGAGAGAAGTCTGAGTTATTAGTTCCCTGACTTAGGGATATCAGACTTTGTAAAGGTGTATGGTTTTGCTCATGTCTCACTTCTAGTTCACTCTACTTTTCTGTGTTAATGACAGTTCCACATGAAGACAGAAAACCTGTGTCTGATCAGTTTTCTTTCTGTAAATATAGAGTTCTTTGTTTGAAGGGTAAAAGCTTCTCATTCATTCAGTAGCATGTATGATAGCCTGTAATTCTGTCAGTTAGGTTAACAAGTGGCAAGAAGTGCCTCAATTTAAATATTCTCTTTTTCCCTCAGATAGTAAAAATAATTCACAGATTTCCTAAGTCTTACTGTCTTTAGATTTCTACCTTAATTTCTATTCTTCTATGATCAACATTTTAAATCTTTTACTACCTTAAAACATTATATATATATATATATATATATATATATATATATATATGACTACTACACAGTCATAATATAATATAATTTCAAAATTAATGTTTCACTTCTTTTTCTTTACCGTCTATATTATAAAAGGCCAGTGGCCGTAACGCCATAACAACCAAATGACCTGTCACCGGTCAGTCGTCTCCCCTCCTCCCCCCCCCCCCCCCCCCCCCGACCCGTGAGCCGCTCACAGCACAGTGGGACTCGAGGCTCACATGGCACTGAGGGGTTTGTGAAGGGCTGGTGGGGCTCGCAGAAAGGCTTACACGGTGTGGCAGGGCTCACACGGTGGTTCAAGATGGTGAGCTATTTGCACACGGTGAGTCTGGGTCTCTAGTCTTTGTATATAAAAGCCTAACCAATCATTACAACCAGTCAACTGAACAACTGGTTGCTATGATGTGCACTGACCACCAGGGGACAGACACTCAACACAGAAGCTGCCCTGTAGTGGTCAGTGCACTCCCACAGCCAACCTACTTCCCATGGTCCCTCCCCGCCACCAGCCGGCCAGCCCCAATCAGCCCTGATTGGATTGGGTGAAATGGTCCCGATAGATCCCAATGGCCAACCAGGCTAAGGGACCCCACCCATGCACAAATTCGTGCACCAGGCCTCTAGTATATACATAAAAAGGAAATGTAATAAACAACTTGCTTTGAATACAGTTAATAATAGTTGGGGTAGCTAAAATAAAAAATATATTTCTTCTGATGCTAAATAAATCTTATGATTAAAAAAGAATAAGTCAATTAGGGTGGTGAGAACAAATTGTCCTTCTAACCACTGAATTCTTCACCTCCATGCACAAGCAGTTAAAAACTGGCCAGTTTCACTTACAGACATGTTGATAAAAAATAATAGCTTTTATTTAAATCTTGACTCAATTGCAAATCTTTTAAATACTTGCTATGATGAAAGTAAAGTTTCGTTAAAGTGCTAAGGCAGCCAGTGAAGGTGCAGGACTGCTGCAAGTTGAATTAGCTGCTTTTTTCGCAGGTTAACAAAAACAACAAAACCTGCTACGAACTATGATGATTCACATTTGGATATTTGGTAGAACATAAATGAAGTGAACCTGTCACTTCAAGGGAAAGACTGACAGTACTTATAGCCAATGATAAGATGTTAACTTTCAAGCAAAAATTAGAATTGTAGAAAATTTGTATCAGCCATTATGACAGCTTCCCAATATCTAAGTTTTCTGGTAAGATCAGTGATGCTATCAACAAAGTTTTATGTGTGTGTGTGTATGTGTGCGTGTGGATAATGAGAAGTGTCAACATTTGAAAAATCAGCATACTTCAGTGAAACAATATTTTCCAAAGTAACACATGAGTAAAAAAAATCCATTTTTAGTGCAAGACAGACCAGTAGATTTTCATGTAACAGAGCATGGAGAGTTCACTGACAAGGTTTCAGATTCCACACTGCAACTGACTTTTAAGAAGCTGTGCCTTGTTGATTTTAGAAGAGTGCCAAAGAAGAACATCCACAATTATCTGGAAAGGCTATTATACTATTTCTCCCTTTTCAGACTACGTATCTTTAAAAGGCTGCATATTCTTCAATACTTCCACCAAAAGAATGTAACAGAATGCAGAAGCAGATATGAGAATCCAGTTGTCTTCTATTAAGCCACACATCAAAGAGACTCAAAAATGTAAAATAATGCCACACTTATCACTTAATTTTATCGAAACTGAAATTGTTTCATTGAAAATGTGTTATTTATGTTAACATGTACTGGGCTTGTTATTTTTACTTAAAAAATAAATTAACAATATATTTTAAATTGCTGTTTTAATTTCTAATTAATTAATATTGACAGATAAAACCCACAGGAACAAAAAGCTCTTTGGTATCCTTAATAATTTTCAGGAGTGTAAAGGTATCATAGATTGAAATGTTTCAGAACTCTATGGCTGAAATTATTACTATTAACTAGAGGCCCATTTTATAAAATTCATGCATGGGGGGCAGAAGGTGTCCCTCAGCCCAGCCTGCACCTCTCCAATCTGGGACCTTTCTATCAGGATTGGGCCTAAACGGGCAGTCGGACATCCCTCTCACAATCCAGGACTGCTAGCTCCCAACTGCTCATCTGCCTGCCTTCCTGATTGCCCCTAACCACTTCTGCCTGCCAGCCTGATCACCATCTAACCACTCCCCTGCTAGCCTGATTAATGCCTAACTGCTCCCCTGCCAGCCTGTTTGCCCCTAACTGCCCTCCCCTGCATGCTGCCCCTCTTCCCCCCAACTGCTCTCCTCTGCAGGCCTGGGTCCCCCCCAACTGTCCTTCCCTGAAGGCCCAGTCGCACCCAACTTCCATCCTCTGCTGGCCCAGTCACCCTTAATTGCCCTCCCCTGCTGACCTGATTTCCCCCAGCTGCCCTCTCTTGCAGGCCTGGTCCCTCCTAACTGCCCTTCCCTGCTGGCCATCTTATGGTGACCATCTTGTGTCCACATTTGGGGCAGTCATCTTTGACCACATTGAGGCAGCCATCTTGTGTGTTGGAGTGACGGTCAATTTGCATATTATTCCTTTATTATATAGAACTAGATAGGATAGAAGCCTGGTGCATGGGTGGGGGCTAGCTGGTTTGCCCTAAAAGGTGTTCTGGATCAGGGTGAGGGTTCCCTTGGGGTGTGGAGCCTGTGGTGGCTTGCAGGCCAGCCACGCCCCCCAGCAACCCAAGAGGAGGCTCTGATATCTGTGATTTATTTATCTTCTATAATTGAAACTTTGTAGCCTTGATTGGAGCAAAGCTTCCTGCTCACTCCGTGACCACAGCCATTTTTGTTGGGATTCATTTATCTTCTATAACTGAAACTTTGCAGCCTGGAGTGGAGTCCTGGGCAGGTGGAAAGCTTGGCTTCCTCCATCTCTGGGGAAAAGTCAAGCCTCCTGCTCTCTCCAGCTCCATGGCTGCAGCCATTTTTGTTGGGATTTATTTATCTTCTATAACTGAAACTTTGTAACCTACAGTGGAGGCCTGGGCCAGCCAAGGCAGGCAGAAAGCTTGGCTTCCTCCATCTCTGGGGGCAACTCAAGCCTCCTGCTCTCTCCAGCTCTGTGGCTGCCATCATTTTAGTTGGGATTTATTAATCTTCTATCATTGAAACTTTGTAGCATTGAGTGGAGGCCTGGGCCATCAGGGACAGGCAGAAAGTTTGGCTTCCTCCATTGCCGGGGAAACCCAAGCCTCCTTCCTGCACCCCATGGCTGCAGCCATCTTGGTTAGGTTTATTTGCTCCTGATTGGTTTGTGGGTGTGGCTTATGGGTATAGCGGAGGTACGATCAATTTCCATATTACTCTTTTATTAGATAGGATAAACTCTGTCATAAGGTAAATTGTAAGGTCAATCTGGAATTCCTTAATTCTCAACTAGAGTTTCCCCATTAATGAGATTTTTTACTAGGCATGCCCCAATTTACCTAATTCACAGTCTCTCACAAATAACAAAATGAAAAAAGCTATTATCTTTTTTCTTCTCTTAAGACTTGAGATCAATTTCTTAACATTTTTACTGTTTAAAAAACTATTGAGTTCTTAATAAAATCTTCCATTACTAGGTTGTGCCAAACAAGTAAGGTATATGGACAGCATTAGAGGATCAGGAAGTGCTCAGAAATCCCAGGTAAACAAGTCCAAGATTAAGGTGTGATTCTCAGGTCTCACTAATCCTTACCAGCACAAGTGATACACGTGTTCTATATCAACCTATCTAAATCTGAATTTGGATCATTAAAAGGAGAGAGAAGAGATCAAGAAAGAAAAAAAAAAAATCTGTTGTATTTCCTCACTGTTATTTTTCTCAAACTGGAAAACTTACCTCTTTATCAGCCTTTATAAGGTAGTGGAGGAGCAGAAATAGAGGGTCCATGGGAGTGACAAAATGGAGAAGACCTCCTATAGATTAAAAGGAGAACAAAGGAAATTAATGTCTGAAATGACAATTTAGTCATTTCACCTTAATCCCAAAGTGGAAATGATTGATTGAAAACTATATGTGAAATTCCACATATAGAAGCTCTTCTTACAAAGGCCCAAGATTGTACGAGTATTTCAAAAGGCAGAATGTGGTCCATAAGATTTTACTCTAAAGACCTTCAAATTTCTGTGGGTAGATGAGACTCAAGACACTGAAATCAACCTTTAACGTTCCATTTCTCTTTCAAAATATTTTTTAACAGGTCTTCCCCACTGACCCCAAAAAAGCAAAGGTTGGGAAATATGAGTAGAATATGAGCCATGCAAATATAGAAAATCTATACAAGTCTGTTTGTAAAACTGCAGTAAAATGCAATTTCCTGTGCTTCTGAGGATAAAGCTGGGGGAAAGCAATATTCTCTCTGTACAGAGCTCCTTCTCTGGTCCGTGGGCTCACTGCTCTGCATTGTTAATGACTCAGCTCAGAAGGTTGTAACTCCCCCTCAGACACTACCCCATCTCTTTACCCCCAAAGAAAAAGGTAAGAGGACAGGAGCTTAACAAGATTGCACACAAGAAATTGGAAACTCCACAGTAAGATTAATGGTGCTCTCCAAGCTGAAAGGAAAAAGGCAAATCACACAAATTAGCATAATTACTCCTTGCTTGTCTTTCTTCTATCCCCAGCTCCTCTTCCACAGAAATGAATCAGAAGAGGAATTGCATCAAATGGAACAATAAATAATCTATTAACTTCATATTTATAATTTTGATTTTAGGAAACACACATATTTACTTCTATTCTCTAACAGAGCAATCTAACTATTCAGCCAAGAAATTCTAACCCTCAATTACATATATGAATCCATTTCATAGTATGAAAAAAAATTTAAGTAATTTCGTATTATAATATTAGTTGACTATTTTTTTAAAGTAAAAGTTTATAAAAACAACATATCAGGTTCTCTAAGTTCATTTTATGAGCAGGTTTCTAGGTCTAAAACAATATCCTGGTGACCACTCTTAAAAACAGCTCTTTAAGGTTAAATTTGTAAAGAATACAATAATGAGCTGAAACTGGTTTGACTCAGTAGTAGAGCGTTGGTCTGCGGACTGAAAGGTCCCAGGTTCGATTCTGGTCAAGGGCAAGTACATTGGTTGCAGGCACATCCCCGGTAGGGGGTGTGCAAGAGGCAGCTGGTCAATGTTTCTCTCTCATCGATGTTTCTAGCTCTCTATCTCTCTCCTTTCCGCTCTGTAAAAAATCAATAAAATATATATATTTTTTAAAATAAAGAATACAATAATGAAAAAAGCAGGTCCTTTTGCTATGAACCTAAAATTACTAAACAAACAAACAGGTAACAACTCAGTCTAGGGGAGATGAGCAATATTTTCCAATTTCACCTAGATAGTTCTGTGTCTATCTAGCTAGACCCAACTGTCCATGAAGCTCACAGAGTGAACCCAAAAAGACCAACACCAAGGCACATTATAATGACATTGGCAAATACCAACGAATAAGTAAGAATCTTAAAAGCATCCAAAGAGAGACAAAAAGTTATATACAAAGGATTCCCCATTAGACCAGCAACTGATTTCTAAACAGAAACACATCAGAACAGAAGGGAATAGAATACACAAAGTCATGCAAAGGAAGGGACTGAATCCATGAATACTGTATCCAGCAAGGCTATCAAAATTGAGAGAGAAATCATAAGCTTCACAGACAAAAAGAACTAAGGGAGTTTATTACCACAAAACCAACAATGCAAGAAATGCTAACGGGTCTACTGTAAAAAGAAGAAATAGGAAGCTAAGAAGGAATACCTGGGGTAGAGAATAAAAATAGAGACAAATAAGTACCTCTCAATAATAACTTTAAATGTAAATGATTTAAATGCCCCCAATCAAAAGATATAGGCTGACTGGATAAGAAAACATGAAGGGATGGAAAAAGGTTTTTCAGGCAATGGAAATGAAAAGAAAGCTAGGGTAGCAATACTTATATCTCACAAATTAGATCTCAAAGTGAAGGACATAACAAAAGAAAAAAAAAAAGCTACTTTATAATGCTAAAGTGAGCAATTCAACAAGAAGATATAACTCTGGTAAACATGTATACACCCAATACAGGAGTACCCAAATACATAAAAAAAAACTTCCAGAGGATATCAAGGGAGAGATAGACAGCAATACAGTCAAAGTAGGGGACTTTAATACTGCACTAACACCTCTGGACAAATCCTCTATACAAAAAAATCAGCAAATAAACACCAATCCTAAATGACTCATAAGATCAAATGTAATTGACATTTTCAGAACATTTCACCCCAAAGACACAGAATATACATTCTTCTCAAGTGCACATGGGTCATTTTCAAAGATAGACCATATGTTGGGACACAGGCAAATACTCTTCAATTTTAAGAACAGAAATCATTTCAAGCACCTTCTCAGATCACAATGGTATAAAACTAAAAATCAAATACAATAAAAACAATAAAACATAAAACACCTGGAGGCTAAATAGCATGCTATTAAACAATTACTGGGTTATCAAAGAAATCAAAGAAGAAATAAAAAGCAACATGGCAACAAGTTACAATGAAAACACAACAATCCAAAATCTATGGGACACAGTGAAAGCAGTCTTGAGATGGAAGTTCATAGCTCTACAGGCCTACCTCAAAAAACAAGAAAAAAATGGTAATAAATTATCCATCTCTACAACTCAAAGGGTTAGAGAGAGAACAAGAAAAGCCCAGCATAAGAAGGAATGAAATAATAAAGATCAGAGTGGAAATAAACAGCATATAGACAAAAAAAAAAAAAAAAAAAAAGTTCAACAAAACTAAGAACTGGTTCTTTGAAAGGATATACAAGATTGATGAAACTCTAGCCAGGCTCACCAAGAAGCCAAGAGAGAGGACCCAAATAAACAAAATCAGAAATCAAAGAGGTGAAGTAACAACCGATCCCACCAAAATAGAAACTATTATGAAAAAATACAATGAACAACTCTATTGCAACAAAATGGACAACCTAGATGAAATGGATATATTCTTAGAAAAATACAAACTCCCAAAACTCAACCAAGAAGAATAACAAAACCTGAATAGGCCAATAACTATTGAAGAAATTAAAACAGCGATCAAAAATCTTCCAGCAAACAAAGCCCTGGTCCAGATGGTTTTACAGGAGCATTTTACCAAGCATTCAAAGAAGTACTAAAACCTATCATCCTTAGACTATTCCAAAAAATTAAAAAGGAAGGCACACTTCCAAGCTCTTTCCATGAAGCCAGCATTATCTTAATCCCAAGACCAGATAAAGATACTACAAAAAAAGATACAGGCCAATATCTTTGAAAATAGATGCTAAAATCCTCAACAAAATTCACGCAAATCAGATTCAGCAATACATTAGAAAGATCATACACCATGACCAAGTGGCATTTATTCCAGGGATGCAAGGATGGGACAATATTCTCAAATCAATAAATGTGATACATCACATAAAGAAAGTGAGACAAATATCACATAATCATATCAATTGATGCAGAAAAACCATTTGACAAAACCCAATACCCTTTTTTGAAAATCAAAAAATTCTCAGCAAAGTGGGAATACAGGGATTATACCTAAAGATAATAAAAGCCCTATATTGCAAACCTACAGCGAATATCATACTTCATGGGCAAAAACTAAGCTCATCTCCCTTAAAGAAGAGGAACAAGACAAGGATGCCTACTTTCACCACTCCCATTCGACACAGTATTAGAAGTACTTACCATAGCGATCACACAAGAACAAAAGGCATCCAAATTAGAAAAGAAGTAAAACTGTCCTTATTAGCAAATGACATGATATTATACAGAGAAAACCCCAAAGACTCCATCAAAAAAACTACTAGACCTAATAAATGAATGTGACATTGTAGCAGGATACAAAATTAATACCCAGAAATCTATGGCCTTTTTATATGCCAATAATGAACTCATAGTAATAGAAATGAAAAATGAAAAAAAAATCCCATTTACCATTTCATCAAAAAATTAAGATACCTAGGAATACACTTAACTAAGGACCTAAAAGACCTGTACTCAGAAAACTATAGGACATTGGAAAAAGAGATAAAGGAAGACATAAACAAATGGAAGAACATACCATGTTTATGGATTGATAGAATCAACAGCATTAAAATGTCCATACTACCTAAACCAATCTATAGACTGAATGCTATACCCATTAAAATATCAATGCCATATTACACTGACCTAGAACAAACTCTCCAAAAATTCACCTGGAATTAAAAAAGTCCTCGAACAGCCATAGCTATCCTGAGAAAGAGGAACAAAGTTGGAGGGCTCACAATACGAGAAATAAAGCTATATTAACGAGCCACAGTTCTCAAAACTGCCTGATACTGGCACAAAAACAGACATAAACCAATGGAACAGAATAGAGAACCCAGACATTTACCCAAGTCATTATACTCAACTAATATTTGACAAAGGATGGAAGAGTATACAATTGAGTCAAAACAGTATCTTTAAGAAATGGTGCTGGGAAATTTGGTCAGATACATGCAAAAAAATGAAACTAGATCACCAACTTACACCATACACAAAAACAAACTCAAAATGGCTAAAGGCCTTGAATGAAGACAGGAAATCATAAAAATCCTACAAGACTCCATACACAGCAAAATTGCAAACATATGTCGTAACAATATCTTTACAGACACAGATCCTAGTTCAAGAGAGACTAAGGAGAAAATAAACAAATGGGACTACATCAAAATAAAAAGCTTTTGCACAGCAAAAGAAACCATCAACAAAACAACAAGAAAGCCCACTGCATGAGAGAACATATTTGACAATGTTATCTCCAATAAGGGTTTAATTTCCAACATTTACAGGGAACTTATACAACTTAATATAAGGAAGAAAAACAATCAAAAAATGAGCAAAGGACCTAAATAGACACTTTTCATTAGAGGACATTCAGAAAGCCAAGGGACATATGAAAACATGCTCAGGGTCACTAAATCATCCTAGAGATGTAAATCAAAACAACCATGAGGTACCACCTCACACCTGACAGAATGGCTATCATCAACAAATCAACCGACAAGTGCTGGAGAGGATGCGGAGAAAAAGGAACCCTCGTGCACTGCTGGTGGGAATGCAGACTGGTGCAGCCATTATGGAAAACAGCATGGCGTTTATTCTAATATTTAAAAATGGAACTAATCAGATTCAGCAAAACATTAGGAAGATCATACACCATGATCAAGTGTATACACCATTTGACCCAGCAATACCACTTCTAGGAACATATCCCAAAAAAACAGAAACACCAATCAGAAACACCCCTATGCTCATAGCAGAACAATTTACAATAGCTAAGATTTGTAAACAGCCTAAATACCCATCAGCAGAATAGTGGATTAGAAAACTGTGGTACATATACACAATGGAATACTGCACTGCTATAAAAAAATAAGTAATTCTTACCATTTGCAGCAGCATGCATGGAACTGGAGAGCATTCTGCTCAGTGAAATAAGCCAGTCAAGTGAAAAAAAAAAAAATACCACATGATCTCACTCATTTATGGATAGTAAAGAACATTATAACCTGATGAACAAAAAGATAAAGGCAGAGAAGCATCAAACAAACTGTCAAATTACAGCGGGAAGGCTGGGGAAGGTTGGGGCGGTGGAGGTAAGAGATCAACTGAATTACTTGTATGCCTGCACATAAGCATAACCAATGGATGCAAGACCCTGGGGGCTGGGGTGAGGGCATATGCCAGGGGATAAGGGAGGCCGGGGGAAGGTCAGTGGGGGGAGAAAGGATACATATGTACTACTATTTTTAATATTTTAAACAATAAGATAAAATTAAAAAAAAAAACTCAAGAAAAAATATTTAAAAAAAAACAACTTTGTTAGATTCTATTCTATTTTAGAAACTATATCAGTATCCATTTTCAAGAAAATAAGATGTTAAAAATTTGAAAAGCCACAAATGTGGCTGAGAAGAGCAAAGAGTTTCTGGTCAAGATAATGTGAACTCCATGGTACAAAGGTCACCTATCTTCTGAAAAGATGTCCGTGTTTAAATTCGTTGGGTCAAAATTCCCTACCATTTAAGATACATAGGTATTGATATAACTTGCTCAAATTATCTTTCCTTTCTCCTTGATTAAACCCTGTTCTGATGCCAAGGAAGAAAACAATCACTGACCAGCCTCCAAACCAGGAGGTCAGACTTGTTCGCCTGTGAAGAATGGAAAAACTAAAGTATATTGTTTAGTTAATGGAAATATATACACTAGTCACTTACCTGATTGAACTGATTGATTTATAAACCAAGAATGGTGTTTTTCCTTGAAAACTTTTATTTCAAACAGTTGCTGTAGACACATATTGAATAAGTAAAGGGCTCCTTTCCCTGTGAAGACAAATGTTTTTTATTTCCACGTTTTCACACACACACACACACAGACAAAAAAAAAAAAAAAAAAAATCAAGACTATGCAATTGTTCTGAGTAATGTTCCCAATATAAACATACATAGACATATATTCTATACAAACTGTCTTCAAGGAAAGCTTACACTATTACATACAAACTAGTGGCCCAGTGCAAGAAATTCATGCACATTAAAAGGGGATTTATTAGAGGAAATATTTTAATATTGCTATTTGCCCTTTCTCTATAATAGAAGTGTCAGAGATGAAAGAAAACTAGTAAAGTGTATATGAAAATCTTCCTCCTGTCAGACTCTGGGGCGCACCTCAAAATCATGCTATACCCAGATTCAGCAAGCCCCACACCACTGAGTGAGATCCAGACCTAGTCAGTCTCACCCTTGTCAAGTCTCACCGCCAGGCAGGGAGCACAATCTCAGGTCCTCCATCAAACCCTCAGGGGGTGCAGCCTGAGGTTCCCTGTCAAGGCCCACTGGGTAAGGGGCGCAGACTCAGGTCCTCTGTTCTAGCCCAGCACTATGCAGCTTTAGGTCCCTGCTGATTTCTCGTTAAGGCTCCTTAGGGGAACTCGGCCTGTACTGTAGGCGCTGACATCATTTTGATGGCGTGATGGTCAATTTACATATTCCCTCCTATTAAATAGCATGCTTGTTTTCTAGCCTTATTATCCTCATTGAACTTAAACAAATCCTATATAATAAAAGGCTAATATGCAAATTGACTGAATGGCAGAACAAATCCTATAAAATAAAAGGCTAATATGTAAATTGACCGAATGGCAGAACAACCAGTCGCTATGATGCATAATAACCACCAGGGGGCAGATACACAACACAGGAACTGCCCTTTGGGCTCACTGCTGGAGAGAGTAACAGCACTAAGGATGTCCAACTGACGGTTTAGGCCCGCTCCTATCTCAGCTGGCTGACGGACATCCCGAGGGCTCCTCCTGGACTCTGAGAGGGCACAGGCCAGGCTGAGGGACACCCCTCCCCCAAGGGCACACATTTCGTGAACCAGGCCTTTAGTAAATAATAAAAGGCAAATTATTTATCTTAAACTGTTACACAGCCTCTTACTGAATCCTTCATCAGATTAGGAAGAAAAACTCATTCTCAAACTACCCAAATCTAATGGTTCAAGCAGATGAAATGAACTGACACACTGGTCCCAGACTCTAGGGCAGCATGTGTCTTATCACATACAGGGACCAAGAGAGGGACTGAGCCTGCCGACCCTGAAGGCCAGCTCTAAGTGAGAAAAAGCAAAGGCCCTTTAATTCATGAATTTTTTTTCGAAACACAAAAAAGTCAAGGACTTTGAATCTATCTCTGTCACATGCTGGGCCTGTGCCCTTGGTTAAATGATGTAAACCCTCCTGCACCATTGTTTCCATATCGGTTAAATGGGAGCAACAGTGAACCTACCTCACAGGGTTTTTTATGAGGATTGAAAAGGTAATACATGCAAAGTTCTTAAAACAGTACAGTACTTAGCACAGAATAAATGCTCAACAAGTCTTAGCCTTTACTTTTTCCCTAGTCAATTCAGCAAATACAAACATTTGTTCAAACATCTGTTGTCTATGAACATTTATACAACAAAAGAAATTTTACAAGAAGCCTGACATTTCTGAAACTTTACTTTTATTAAATGCTTTAGAACTTTTGCTACTACCTAAAACTTCCCTTGAAAAAAAGATTTCTCATCTCAACTTATGCATAGAGGACAAATTATATTCAATTTCATTTTGAGAAGAAAAGAAAACTGGAGGAAGCCAGAAATTTTTTCCTTGTTGCTTCTACCTTATACTTTTCCCAACAACAATAACAATAGCAAAGTATACTACCCACTGGCTTTCCCTTTCTTTTACTTTTGTATTAAGTACAAGAGGCCCAATGCACAAAATTTATGCATGAACATGGGTTCCTCAGCCCAACCTGCACCCTCTCCAATCTGGGGCATCCCTCTCACAGTCTGGGACAACTGGCTTCTAACCACTTGTCTACCTACTTACCTGATTGCCCCTAACCCCTTTGCTTGCCTTCCTGATCACCCCTAACTGCCTTTGCCTGCCTGTCTGATCTCGCCCCTAACTGCCCTCCCCTGCAGGCCTGATCTTGCCCCCAAGTGCCCTCTCCTGCCAGCCTGATTGCCCCTAACTGCTTCTGCCTTGGCGCCCACTACCATAGCTTTGTCTGGAAGGAAGTCAGACATCTGGAAGACGGACAGTCGACCCAGTCTAATGAGCATATTACTACCCTTTTATTAGTATAGATAGATTATAGAGGATAGGATTGCTTAAATGGGAGGAAAAGCCTTTTTCAGCAGGAGGAGATGCTCTTGGCAGACAAAAACATAATTCCTATATCTGGACTGATAGCCAGCCATATGCACTATACTGCCAAACCAGTCATTAAAAAAATTGAATTACTTTCTTACTCCTTACACCAAACAGCTGTTGCCCTTAAAACCCCTCCTCAGCCCCACCTTAGGTTCTGCCTTTGCAGTTCACCCAGATTTGGTTCTGATTGGTCAGTTTCTATGCTAGTCAACGTCAAAAGCTTCACCTCCTAGGCAGCCATTGGCTCCTAGCTATTCACCCAGATTTGGTTCTGATTGGTAGGTTTCTATGCCAGTCAGCATCTCCAGGCCTATCTCCGGGCCTGATCATAGAGGCAGGGCTGATCAGCAGCTGCCCCAGGCTGCTGGCCTGTGGGCTGAATGGCTGACCTCTGAGAGAGAGACTTGGCTGCTGGCAAGGCCGAGAGAAATAAGCAGAGTATAATCACCTGCTTCTCTCTCCAGCCTCGCCAGCAAGTACTGGTATTGCTGATCAGCCTCGCCTCTCTCTTCCTCTCTGAGAAGTGAGCAGTTCAGCCTGCTCACCTGCTGTGTGTGCAGCCTGGTATTTGGTCCAGACTGCTGGTGAGAGGACTGAACTGTTGACTCTGGGAGAGAGAGATAGGTTTGGCTGCTGGTGAGGACCGAAGAGAGGAGTAGGGTCTGATCACCCTGCCTCTCTCTCCGGGCCTTGCCAACTGCCACTGCCACTGCTGACAGCATCACCTCCCCCCTGCCTCTCTCTCTCTCTCTCTCTCTCTCTCTCTCTCTCTCTCTCTCTCTCTCCCTCTCTCTCCTTCTCTCCCCCCTCCCCCTCCTGATCCCCCCAACCCCCAGCGGACTGAACATAGCAGTTCAGCCCGCTCGCCTGCTATGTGAGCAGCCTGGCTTTCAGTCAAGCCTCTGGTCGTTGTGGATGTTACGATCCTGGCTTTTTATAATATAGATCAGTGTTTCCCCCAGGGGTACAGGAAGAGTTTGGTGGGGGTACGCATTGCACCAGAGTTTGGTGGGGATATGCACTGCACCATGCTTAGCTGCGCCTAATTCTACGTTCTCATGAGTACGAGGGATACTCAGTGTTACAAAAATTATAGAAGAGGTACACATATGTCAAAAGTTTGGGAAACACTGGTATAGATTATAGTCACTAGGAGAATCCTTTGATTTACTAAATATCTGGCATCTACTCAAACATTATAAAATTAACAATAGCTTTTTAATGTAAATCTTATATAAAAATTCCATATAGAGATAAATAACATGGTCAATTTTACTGCATATCTATTATATAGTTTAATATTTTTGCCTAAAGATTTTAAGATAAAATAGAAAATACACTGAATATAGTTAAAATAAAATTATTTCTGATAAAATATGTATCTCTATAATACACAATGGTTTTGCTACCAAAAAACCAACCCTTGACAGGAAAAAAAAAAAGTACTATTTTCTGGTCAGAACCAAATAATGTGCAGCTAAAACTGAAACACTCATAATCTTGGCATTTCAGATGAAAGCCTTTTTTTAACCCCTATATATTTTACTGAATAGGAGGCTAACTACTCTAAGAAAAGCTGGCTTAGGTAAGCCAAAGAAAATTAACCTGTTTTCAGAAAGAAATCAAATATGTTACTATGTTTTGCCATCATTTCTGATAAACAGGTCTATGGATTAAAATTATAAGGATAAATAAAAAGTGTGTAGGTCCAGTGAATCATCTAGAGAAGACTGATAATGTCAATAGCTTACTTTGGTCACCAGGTAATGCCATTTTACATTAAAAAGCTATTCAGTTAGAACCAAATACAAAGGCAAATAAGTACATACATTTTTTAGCCACAATGTAAAAAAAAAAAAAAAAAAAAAAAAAAAATTCAAGTTACTATTAATGCAGGGAAGGGAAAGGGAGCTTACCTGAACATGGGTTAACCAATTTTACAAACATAAGCCCACTTTTCATCTTCTTGGAGGCATCTTTTAAATATTCTGAAAAGAAATGGTGAATTTGTAAAATTAAGATATTTGCTTTTTGTTCTAATTTACTTCACCCTGATTTTGTTTCTTCTATTTATATGATTTTTCTTTCTATTATTTATAACTCAATTCTATTGCTTAGGAGCAATTACTTATTTATTTGTATTTAGTAATACTGCCTTATCTTCCTTTTAAGTATTGTCCTCTCAGCAGCTGATATGTTAAACAATTGCCACTGATTTTTTTTTGGCAAAGGCTCTGGGGACAGGGCTTTTCTGCAGAGCAAATTCTGAGCTCCAAGGAGGGCCAAATGATAGCACTATCCTGTGAATGGGGCTTTTCCAGTGAGTTGTGAGAAGGGTCAAACAGGGACAAAGTTCCAAGCAAGGCCTGCCCCATCCAGTGGTTGCAAGGCAGCTGGTTTTTACAAGTAATACCATGTTTTCAAAACTGCTGGTTTTCAAGACTACTGCAGACCTGAGTAAGTTCAAGTTATATGCCACAAATCCTGTTTAATGAGATTCAGCAGTTTTTCTTGAATAAATATTCCTATTATTGGAGGAAGCAATATCAAGAGTCTGAAAAAGTTGATTTTGGCCATCTTTGTCAATGTTTTCATTACTTTTATGAATTTAACCCTGCCAGATTTTAATGCTTAGTATAAAAAAGAACTCAGATTGCTATAATACTTCTGATACACTTCTTGGTCTAAATTAAAGGCCCTATGAAAGAGCTTTTAATTTTCATTTAAATTTGGGAAATCCTGGGTCATCCCTCCAGACTTGGAAGCTCCGTCTTTTTTCTAACTTTTACCTGCATTAATTAGGAAAGAAAAAAATCTGCTTTTAGAATAATGAGAGAGAATGGGAGTGTAGAAGGAAGGGAGTTTCCTCTGTAAGTTTACTTTGAGCTGATGCTTGTTTCTTTGATAATATCAGCATAGGAAGTAACAAGATCTAGAACCAGACAGATGCACAATCTAACCCCTGCTTTCCTCCTTACTCAGCAGATTCCAACCTTTCTGTGCCTCAGTCGTTTCATTTATAAAATGGACATAATAATTATTGTATAGGCTTTTGTTAGGCCCACTTCCAGAAATATTAATTTCAGTCTATGCCTCCTCTTCCTAAGATGTTCGCACTACCACATGGCCTGAGTCATTTTCCTAACTTTGAACTCTCAACTTTCTCAAACATGACAAGAGGCAAACCAAGAAAGCTAGAGAAAGGCATAAACTAGAATAATAATTCCCAAGTAATTGGTTCATCTAATAATATCTTTTTATTCTGAAGCTTTGAAGACAAAATCAAAACTGACCTTAACCAAGACCATAGAAGATAAAATCTCCATTCTTCCAGGGCTGTCCCTATCAATAGATCAACAGCCTTGTTTCTAGGAATGCCCTATACTGGGGTAGGGAACGTCTGAGGGACAGTTAAAGCCCACAAAATCATTTGGTCTGCCCCTGCCAAGGTATTAAGGGTAAGTTAATCAGATGTTTGACAATATGCAGCAGGCTAATTTTTAAGTTGATCATTCTGTATGGCCCATGAATGATGTTATAAATATCCAAAGGTCCTTGGCAGAAAAAAGGTTTCCCTCCCCTGCCCTATACAGTCAGAAAATGAGCTGATGAAAAACTTCAGGTTTGCAGCCAACTCAGAGCCACAAAGACCAGCAATATATAGAGATGTCTGGGAAGCAGGAAAATTCTGAACAGGTAGAAAGGATGGACCTGCCTGAAATGTCAATAACAACCAAGGCTGGCTCCGGGAAAGGTGTGCCCAGTCCCTGCCCTTTCTAATCTTCCTTCCTCTCCAACAGTGGCAACTACCACCTTCCATTCTGCAGAGTGGTCTTTGGCACATAGGAGTTCAGGAGGACACAGAAGAGCCAACAGCCTATGCCACTAATTACTATTGATGTTGGACTTCTGTGAGTCTTTTTTTTTTTTTTTTTTTTTTTTTGGTCTTCTGTGAGTCTTGTAGAATGGTGACAATAAAGTCTGCCTTGACTACTTCCCAAGGTCAAATACAATAACTTACACCCAAGCGCATTGTAAGAGTATAAGAGCTAGAGGATGGGCTTCCTAAAACTTACATAAACCCTGGCTAAATGAGTATGAATTACAACCAAAATAAAATTCTCCCTACAAATAAATCTCTTCCATAACTGTATGTCACCAAAGAAATCACCAAGAACTGAGAAACTCAGAATGCTGGATGGAAACAGGCCTGGTCGTTAAGTGGCTCAAGCTTTTGACCAGAGCTCAGTTGCACCGGTAACTAAGGAAGGGCAGTGGCTGTCTGTTGTGCTGTCTACTCCCTCTCTTCCAGGAAAGCACTCTCTACTCTTGCCTAGGTCTTCTGCCCGCTCTCCCACCTTGTGCTTGCAGTGGAGTCTGCTCCTCCCTGGATACAGGTAATGGGGTACAGGGAGCAGAAGGCTATTTTAAAAAGGTTAAAACTAGAATTAAAAGAAGAGGGGCAGCTTCTCCCAGCAGACACCAGGAGATTTGAACTGTGGGTGCAGTGTGCAACCAGGTTTCCACTAAATAGAGGAAGTTTGTGTTAATGCTCAGAGAGGCAAAACCCTGGGCCTGGTGCTGCAACACCTGAGTTCCAGATGTCTCTCCAACACCCACCCCCCAAACCCTGCCCCAACACACAGCTGGCTCTTCAAGGAATATGTTGATCCCACTGTGGAACTCCTAACAAAGTGTTAAGTCAGGTTTTGTAGCACAATCAGGACTCACTGGCCACATATTAGAGAAACACTATACAGACTCATGGTGAATTCAAACTGGCATCCTATTTATTCCAAGGGCTGTCTGCAGGAAGCCATGGTTGTCCTAAATAAATTTAACCTCAAATGCCTTTCAAAACACTCTAGCTTGCCATGTGTCTGCTATGGCTCTGTGAATTTATCTTTCCCTGTTTTGCATCTATTTGTATTTTCAGTCTCAACCCACTCTTAAAAATAACCCATACTAAATATGTAGTCTACTCTGTGAAAGCAATGCTTATGTGGTATATTTGTTACACTATAAATAAATTTATAATATGCCTTTTGAATGCAAAAAGTATGACCTACAAGTCTTTCTCAACTTTGTTAATATTGGCTATGTGAGTTTCTATCTTTCCCAAAATTAAGAGAAAAAATATCTCAGTCCTTTACCTCTCCATTAAATCAACTTAAATGTATTTCTCTAATTCCATGATTAGATACAGCAAATAAAACTATATAACACTCTAGTAAAACCCCAATACCCCTAAGAATTTTAGTGAGTGTTATAGTAAATAAGTAGAAAGAGTAAACAGTGAAACGGAGGCAGAAATACAAATATCCAAAAAGAAAAATTAAGAACATGTAATTCCTTCTGTGATACATACAACATAAAAAGATTAGAAAAATATATTTCCAAATTGTTATTTCTAGGTGGTAAAATGATGGACAAATTCTTTCATATATATATATATATATATACACACACACACACACGTATATATATAGATATTGCATTACTAAAATTTCTTTACTGAGTATTGCTATTCTAATAAAAATTTAATAAAAATATATGGGAGAAAATGTGTAAATGAAGAGATAACTAGTCAAAACTGAGCAACTGATCATGACAGAGTTCACCAAATGTTGCTGGGACTTTACGCCCCTGCAGGGAAATCAGCTCTGGCCAGAGACACCTCAGCCGGCCTGGGTCCTCCTCCTTTCAGAGGCAGATAACAGAACAGGCATCAGGTCTGACCCTTTTACCAGGTAGAATGGGCTACTTTAGCAGACAGAAACCTAGAAAAGAAAGTCACTTTTAAAGGTATTTTAAAACCAAATATAAAGGATCTCGGAACAAAAAGGCTGAGAGTCCTAAGGAGCATGCTCTAGTTTCAGAGGCACTGAGCAATTTTGGACTCTGAAGCTTAAGGCCAAGGCTCCACCACTAAGAAGCTAAAATGGCGACTCAGGGAGAATAGACCTGGATTCTCCCCAACCACTGGCATGTATTGGGCATTCAATACATATTTATACAAAAATGGCGCAGTGAATTGAGTAATCAGGAGGAAGTGTATATAGGTGACTGCAGAGGTACCATGAACTTGCACACTAACAGGAAAGGCCAAGAGGGCAGGCTTCCTGGAAGAGGTGACATTTGCATTTGCTTACCAGTAAAGAATAAACAGGCATTGGCAGGTAGAGATCACAAAGAGCGTTGGCAGGTAGGGGTCCAAGTAGACACAAAGTCAAGGATATTAAAAGACAAAAAAGTTGGGTTGGGGCAAATGGATTATCTTCACAGGAACTAAAGATGAAGCAAGCCTTGGAGAAAGAGTAGAATTTGGATAGAGGTGAAAGAAGAAAAAGTACAGTGTAAGCAAAGAACACTGCAGGAAGAAATTAAATGTGAGGCATTTGTTCTTTCAATAAATGTTTATTAAAGGCCTACTCTGTCCCAGGCCCCAGGCTAAGAACTTGGGGCACAAAAAGAGCTTCTGTGAAACTCAAACCAACAGCTAGCAAACTCCTGAGGCTGGTACTGTTCTCCCCAATGTAGAGATGAGGAAATTGAGGCTTGACACTGAGAACACAATTTCTCAAGAACATAAGCTAGTCAATAGCAAAATCTAGTTTTAGGTGTGTGTTTTTATAGTTAGGCTTTAAAGAACACTGGTGAATTGTTTGTTTCTTAGGAAAACCCATGTAGCTCCCATTCTGCTTTTCAAATAAAAAATTGTGAATGTTGCTTACTTTGCTTTTATGATTTCTCTTCTGCCCTGGAGGATAAACATGCGGGACTCACAAGTTCTTATAAAACGTACTTGGAGTTGGTCCGAAGGTTGTGGGTTATTATTAAGCTGATTAACATAAAAAGTACTTGGTCATTCGAACAATTTCTAGCAGGGCAAGATCAGGCTCCGGAAACAGCCTAATTACACCAGCTGGCAAATACTTAAGCCCATCCACTCCAGAACGTGCTCAAATACTAGGGGTGCTCGATCCAGTGGCCATATGAGAGAGGTCAGTCTGGTTCCCACCAAAAAACTTTCATAAAGGCAAAGCCAGGCTCAGTATTTGTGCGGAAAATATCACATATGCTCCATGCTAGAAAACTCAGAGACTCCCACTGCTGAAGGCCTACAGACCACTATTCAGTAAATGTCATATTTTCCCAGAAGCTGAGCTTAATTATTCAGAGGTTGTCTAAAATCAGCACTTGTATTGGCCAGATCTCCCCACGCCTCCCTTATCTCCTCTTCCCACCTCCCCCCAAGGTTAGCCAAACTTAGTGCAGGTTCCTCTCTGTGAATAAGCTCTTCTGAAAGTAAGGAAACTTTCAGCCCACAAGGTGTATTTCTAAACACAAACAGACATACCTGCAAACAGTTTGACAAAGAACAAAAAACCTGCTTAAATATTCTGAGACTAACTATGTGCACTTAAGGAGGGAAAATGCGTTTTTTGTGTTTTGTTTGTTTGAGGGTCACTGAAAAGTCATTTAGGTATATAGTAATTATTCTTTCAACACATATTTTTACTTTTTATCAAACAAGAGGTATTCTTGGGGGCTTATTACAAAGCTGTATGTCCTAGCTGGGTTGATCAGTGGTTAGAAGACTGAAGAGTCAAGGGTTCGTTTCCCAGTCAAGGGCATGATGCAAATTCAATCCCCGATGGGAGCACATGAGGGAGACTACCAATGCACGTGTCTCGTTCATATCTGTGTTCTTTCTATCTATCTATCTATCTATCTATCTATCTATCTATCTATCTATCTATCTCTATCTCTCTCCCCTTTTCCCTCCTTTCCACTCTCTCTAAAAATCAATGGGAAAATATCCTTGGGTGAGGATTTAAAAAAAAAAAACACCACAAACTATAAGACTCTAATCAGTAATAGCACTGAAATGAATTTTCTCCATCTTTAAATATATATTTTATTGATTTTTTACAGAGAGGAAGGGAGAGAGATAGAGAGCTAGAAACGTCGATGAGAGAGAAACATCGACCAGCTGCCTCCTGCACACCCCCTACTGGGGATGTGCCCGCAACCAACGTACATGGTCCTGACCGGAATCGAACCTGGGACCTTTCAGTCCGCAGTCCGACACTCTACCACTGAGCCAAACGGTTTCGCCTGAATTTTCTCCATCTTTAAACAGAAAAATGTTTTTTTCTTTTAAAGTTTATTTCTCTTTAAGTTTTAAATTAAGAACATAGTTCTAAGGTTTCATTCACACAATGCTTTCAAACCTATCTTTGCATTCGTCTGGAGAGCCTGTCATTGTTTGTGATTGTTGTGGTGCCTCACATGACAGACTCCATACTACACTTGGAGTGTCTAAGGTAGGCAAGCAAGCTGGGAATTCTTATCTACACCCCACCTGCCCCCTGTCCCCTCCCTCCAAAAAAAACCCAAAAAACTGCCATTACTTACGATGGCTGTGAGGAAATAAATAATATTACTCTTCCCAGAATGCTTTTTAACACGTATATGCAAGAAATACAGTAAAGGGGAATTACTTTATTGTAAAACCTGTCTGTGGTTGAAGTCCAGTTTAATCAGAGGGCCGGTTAAAGGATCTTTTCAGCTGAAGGAGACCCGAATGAGTTTCTTGACTGGCCCTGACATCATTTCTGTCCTTGCTTTACCCCTCACATTAGGGCTTCTCAATGCTTTAGCCTTTCCTTGGAGATGGCTAAGTGACAGGGTTCAGACACACTAACATCAACACCGTCTTCTATCCCACACAGTGATCTGCTCCCAGCTGGCCTTCCTCACGAGAATCCACTCAAACTTAATAGAACTGACAAGCGTACAAAACTTGGACTCAAGAGAAATATTTAAAATATTTGCTATATTCCAAAAAGTAGAGATGTTAACATTCTCTCATAGTAACTGAAACAGCAAATACGTACACTAGTTTGAGAAATGTTTAAGACCATCCTAAACTTCAAGAAATGCTTACTCTGCTGAAAAGGAAGGCAATTCAGTCTTCACCGGCCTATGAAAATCAAGACTCCAAGTCTGATTACCTCCCAAGTATCCCTCCTAAGTTCCAGCTTTTTATTTATTTTATTTTTTTATTTTTTGCTGGTGGGGGAGGGAGGAAAGAATAATCTACTTCTTCAGGAAAATGAGAGGCAAAGATACCTAAATAGTACTTCTACATTTACCCTCCAACATGGCAACACAATACTATGGTAGGCAACTCGATAAATAAAGTAAATTAAGTGTTGGGGGCGAAAGAGGCATCTCAAGGTTTTGGTGCCTGTACATTTGTCTCGTGGATAGATCTCTAAAGTTCTGTTGGTCTGATGATTAATTTGCTCACTTTTCAGTATGTAGAGTTAAGTGCTTCAAATTCTTCTGCCAGAAGTTTTCTAAAACTTAGTACAGACTGTTTCCATCAAATACTTTTGAAAATTTTCATACAATCTTCGTTTCTTTTATGAAGGGCCCAACTTTACTGTAGCTATGGCCCTCACTCAGACAAGGGTACAGCCTTCTCCTTTCAAATGCATAACTTACTGGACCTGATTTCCTAACCAATACCAGTACATGTCATACCCTGTGCTTACATGCACTGCCCTGACCATGCACATTTTGGCCCACTCTAACGAGAGAAACCTCAAGATGGCCATTCCTCTTCCCCAATCCAGCTCTCCTGGGCTGGTCTCACTGCGGTGGTGCTTTGGGTGGTCCCAGCCCAGCAGCATCCAGAGGGAACCAGTTAGACATGCACACTGTCAGGCCATTCCAGACCCACTGAATTAGGAGCTCTGGAGGTGGGCCAGCTCACCTGTGACAGACACCCTGCAGTTTGAGCAGTACTGTGGCACTGCAGTCATTATCAAGCACCAGTGTTCATGCCCTCAGAGCCTGCAGGTGGCACTACAGGCCGGCTAGAAGAATTACATGGGCAGGAAGCTGAAGCTGTGTTACAAAACCTGCTGGTCTGACAGTTCCTCCTATCAGTTCCTGAACAACTGCCTCCGCCTTCTCCAGTGAGTTTAGTTTTGAACAGGAACAGGACTGAAATTATTCTCACAGCCCCAGCAGTAGACATACTAATTTTTCTGAAGGTCTTGTGTTTAATATAATGAAGATTCAAACAGACTTTAAGAATGAATGTCAATACTGATTAAACAGAAAATAAGAAACTTAAATTATCCTCAGCCATTGTGTGTCTCTGAATAAAAATAATCCATTTGATTTGAAACATCTCATTGAATTGATGTAACAAAAGTGAGAAGAGCCCTAACCAGTTTGGCTCAGTGGCTAGAGCATTGGGCCTGTGGACTCAAGGGTCCCAGGTTCAATTCCGGTCAAGGGCCATGTACCTTGGTTGTGGGCACATCCCCAGTGGGAGGTGTGCAGGAGGCAGCTGATCGGTGTTTCTCTCTCATCGATGTTTCTAACTTTCCCTCTCCCTTCCTCTCTGTAAAAAATCAATAAAATATTTTTTTTTAAAAAGTGAGAAGAGGATTTTTCCAAGGTAAAGCAGTGTATAGGTAGCCCTTCATTAGACTCTGTCAAAACCTGAATTTTGCATTAACTGCTTTACTGCACAAGCATCTCTATGAGGATGTGGAACAACAGGAACTCTGACCCACCGCTGGTCGTAATGTAAGTAGTACAACCACTTTGGAAAACTGTTCAGCAGCAGCCACCAAAACTGAACATACAGATACCTAGCACAAGCGATTCCACTCCCAGGTCTTGCACCCTACAGAAGCAAATTCCTCTCTATCCCAGAAGTGTAATTCACAATAGTTACCCACTGGAAGTCCAAACGTCCATCCACAGTAGAGGAGATAAATATTATGGATATTTATGCAATAAAATATACACAGAAATGAAAACACAAATCAACCAACAAACTGCTACACCCAGTATGGAAGAATCTTATAGGCATCATGCAGAGTGAAAGCAGCCAGACACAGAGGAGCGCAGGCTGACCTCAGCAGGTGACATGAACCTCTGGTGACAGAGGTCAGCAGAGAGGTTCCTGGGTTATCTACCAGCAGACACGGGGAGCTCAGTGAACAAGTTCTACATCATGACCTGGAGGACGGTTACAGGGTTACATATGCAAACCTCATTGAGTTGCACAATTACATATGTAGGTTTTACTGTATGTTATATCTCTTTATAAAGGTTCAAAAGGTTAGACGCACAAAAATACTTACAAACTGACATGTGACACTTTTCAATATCCACCATAAAACCTACTTGACTGGACAACTATATCGTCATTAGCAATTACTTTAAAGCATTTGCTGAGCTAAAACTCAAACGACGTATTTTCCTTATTTTCTATGTTAGGCCATCATATCAATATAGTCTAAAAAACGCCAAACTTTTCTGGCTTTCACTCCCTAGTCCCAAACTCCTTTTATTCCGCCATTTAACGGGGCCCATCGCCAGCGGAAACTGACGGCCCTCCCCAGCCCCTGCAGGCCCGTCAGGGCGGTGAGGTGGGCTGGCTCCTGCCTGCACCCCCACCGGAACCTCCCCCCCTCTGGCCCCTCCCCATCGGCTTCTCTCCTCTCACCGTCCGAGTCTGGCCCGGGACCGGCCGCCCAGACCCTGGCTGCCGGCCCGGGGGGAGCCCAGCCGTGGGCCCCGCTGCCCAGGGGGGCACCAGCTTACACCCCGAGGGCAGGACACCCCACCCACCCCCCGCGGGCGCGCAGCAAACCCCGGCGGCGGCCCCGCGCCGCCCCCCGCAGGCCCACGCGCCCGCCCCCTGAGGCCCATGGACCCCCAGAATGAGGCCCGGGCTGGGGGAGGGGGAGATTAGCGGGGAGGGGGTCCGGTTGGCGCTCCCGGCTCTGGTTTGAACCGAGCTGGCTGTGCTATGGAGTGCGCCGGGAGACGGGGCGCGGGCCGTGGGTCCCGCCGAGGCGGCGGCGTGGGGGCGGCTCCGCGCTCCGGCCGGGCTGGAGGCTGGGGGCCTGGCTGCCCCGGAGGCGGCCCGTTACCTGGAAGCAGGAACACGTGCTCGCGGGCGCGGCCGCCGTCCCCGCGCTCCCCGCGGCGCGCCATGAGCCGGCTCCTCCCGCGCGGCCTGGGGCGGCGGGAATGGCGGGAGAGGCTGGTTCCGGGGGCGCGGCGCACAGGCCTGGCGGCCCCGGAGGCGACCGCGGGGCGAGTTTGGTTTCGTTTCCGGTGCCGGCCGCCGCCACCGTAACTTTTCAAACTCGGCGCCGGCGGAGGCGGCCCGAGCCCCGCGGCCGCGCCCTCCCGGCCCCGCCCGCGTACGTGCCCAGCTCAGGCGCCGGGACGCTGCGCCGGCGGCCGCTCCGGGACGGGACGCGGGAGCGCGCGGGGCCGCCGCGGCCCGGGCCCAGGGGCCCTCCCTGCTGGTAGCGCGGCCGGAGGACCCCACCGCGCGTGAGCGGGCGGGGCGGCCCGGGAGGGGACCGGGGGCCCGCGCCCTGACGCCTGCCACCCCGGGGCTGGAGCTCTGGCCGGGAGAAATTGTGGGGAGCAAGTTCATGTCAGTGACAACAGCAGCCTCCTCGGAGTCCTCTGTGCTCTTGCTTGTCAGTGTGCCTGGATCATCTGTTGCATTCTGCATAGGAATTCATGTCAAAAGAGTGTGTGCTTCCAATCGGAGTCCTCATCACTAAAAAGAGGTTTCACAATGTGAGGCTCACAGTATGAACTTGTTATTTGGGGCGGCTTTGTAATGAGTTAAAAGTTAAGACATTTTAAAAAGCAATGTTTAAAAAGTGAGGGTCATGAAATTGGGGAACTTAAGCTTTAAAAAAAAAAAGTTTAATTGAAAGGGTGATGCTTGGTGTAACATGGTTTTAAAAAGACTAATAGCAGTTTCTCTCATACGTTACAGGAAAGTATGTCTCCCTCTTACCCCAGATCTCTAAACCCACTCCCCGGGGAAATCACTGTTTACAACTTCTTGTCTATTCTTCCAGCAATTTTCCATTCACTTACAAATTCTTATGTCTTGCTTTTTTACACAAATGGCAGAATACTATATGTAATTCTGTGTACTTAAATTTGACAACACTGGATCTGTCTCAGCCTTCTGCAAGGACTTTTTATTTTTAATCCTGTTTCCCATGGGAAGGAGACAGCTGAAGTTCTGTGCAGGATATGGGTGGTAGAGATGAAGACTTTCTGGCTGAGGAGGAGCAAAGAAATGCCAAGTCTGGGGCAGGCAGAGATTAATCTTACTCTGATCTCTTCTGTCCACTAAGATTATTCTGGATAAAGCTCTAGTGTGTAGGTCAAATGCCCAGACACACCATAATCATGACTAACAGCTACAAGAGACATGTTACACACAGTTCCAGTGTTCCGACATCGAGCTGTTTTTATTTCCTCTGCTCCTTTCTAGCCATTGGCTGTATAAACATATGTTTTTACTAGTATGTGGTTGTTTTTACAGGATAAATACAATTCTGTTCGCTTTTCTCCCTTTACATTGTCATAAAAACATACCCATAGCATCCAGAACTGTCATTCTTAATGGAGGCATGTTATTTCACTCTACTAATGCACCAAGATTACTTAACTATTCCCTACTGTGCAATATTTAAGTTATTTCACAGTATTATTATAAACTAGAGGTCCAGTGCATGAATTCATGCATGGGTAGGGTCTGGCTGGCCTGTCCTGATCAGGGGCCAATTGGACCTGGCCCAGGGGGAAGGGGACACAGGAGGTTGGCTGCCTAGCCCCGCTCCCAGTCTGGGGGGGAGGGGGGTGATTTGGGGAGGGGCTGTTGGAGGTTGGCCAGCTAGCCCTGGCCCCCTCGTCAAACTCCCAGTCAGAGGACAATTTGCATATTAGGTTTTTATTATATAGGACTAGAGGCCTAATTCACAAAAATTTGTGCAAGAGTAGGCTTCTCTTCAGCCCCTGGGCCCAAGCTGCTAACACCAGCTTTCCTCCAGAATCCGGGCTTCCCAGCAGGCTCCCGGGATCCAGGCTGGCTTCCCCCCGGCCCAGGCTTCATCAGGAAGGACGTCAGGAATGATGTCTAATTAGCATATTATCCTTTTTTTATTCTAGATAGTGCTACAAAGTATACAATTATGGATTATGCAGCAGTTAGAATCAATTAACTAGATGTACACATAACAACATGGGTCCTTTATGTCAAGAAAAAAAGGTAGGCAGAGATTTATAGTAGAATACCATATAGGTAAATTAAAAACATACATTAAAAAAAACAACACATGTTTTATAAGGATACATGCACAGTGAAAGCCCATTATCAAGCAAAAAGAAATGGGTGTCTTAAAATGGAGAGTAATGGGATAAGGAATAAGGGGGACAAGGAAAATCAAATAAGAGAGATACCAGGACACATAGTATGGACCACTGTCAGTATGTCCTATTAATGAGATTACAGCAAACTTCCTCATGTTTAGATCCAAGAGCAAAAACGAATTTTTTAATGTGCTGCAACAAACATCTCTGAACAATTTCCTTAAAAAAAAAAAAAAAGGACCTTCCTGGAGGGGGCACCAATGATGATGTTGGAGACATACTCTAGATCCCTATTGTCCTCAGGGTAAGTACCAAGGTACTATGCTTTGAACAAATGGCCTTGAAATCTGGTTCTCATTTGCCCTTTCAACCACAAGCCCCACCACCTCTTTCTCCCTACTCTGCCCACAGTCTGGCCAGGAGGAACTGCCTTCTGTCATGTTAGCTTTGTGTTCCCAAGCTGAGACTGCCCTGTTCTCTACTAGCCTTGTTCCTCTACCTCCTTCCCTCCTCTCCACCGCTGTCTTCAGACCTTCTTTAGACAATGCCTTCTCCATAGCACTCCTCTTGCTGCCTCCCAACACCCTCCCCAAGAATGAGTGAGATGCTTCCAACCTTCTCAGTTATCTTACTAGGTAATAGAGCTTCTGATTTTCTCCAGTTCCTTGAGGAAGGAAAGCATCTAATAATTCACTTCATCCTCAAAATATAACAATGGCTTTATTTATTTTTTTTTTTTTTTAAATATATTTTATTGATTTTTTACAGAGAGGAAGGAAGAGAGATAGAGAGTTAGAAACATCGATGAGAGAGAGTCATCGATTAGCTGCCTCTTGCACACCCCCTACTGGGGATATGCCCGCAACCAAGGTACATGCCCTTGACCGGAATCGAACCCGGGACCCTTCAGTCCCCAAGCCGACGCTCTATCCATTGAGCCAAACCGGTCCCGGCATAACAATGGCTTTAATCCAGTACTGTGACAAGCTCTCTCAGTCCTCCAGTAGCCTTATGGGGAAGTATTAGTATATCCCCACATTTTACAGAGGAAGAATGTAAATTTAGAGAAATAAACTAATTGTCCAACATGTAAAACCAGCAAGTGGCAGAGCAAGAGGTTCAACCCAGAGATTGGGCTCTTAATATCCCTCCCCTTCCTCCTATCCTAATGTCCCAATACGTAGGAGACATCATGTGCTCAGCAAATATTTTCTGAATAAAAGTATATGTGGGTAGATATGGCAGTTATGTCCCTCTAACAGGGAACAAATCCACCTTGTTCAATTGCAGGCATGTTCCAGGTGGTGTTTGTTTACACATTTCTGTGTGTGTGTGTGTGTGTGTGTGTATAACTATAAACATAACATATATTTACTTAATTTGGGTAATTTAGGCTCCAAAATATATAGTTTTGTGCCTGCACTCTCTGTAGAGATACCATGATCAAAGAATCATAAAATGATATAATTGCATATTTTTCTGCATGTCAGCCTAAGCAATCTCCATACACTTTAGAAATTGTTATAACTTTCAGTTATCCTGACTTAATTTGCTTTATATATGTTTTTAGTATTTCCTACATTGCAATACTTTTGAGATGTATGTTTAAGTAATGCATTACTTAACAAGTTAATAGATTGACAACATCATCAAAATGTCCATACTTCCCAAAGCAATTTATAGATTCAATGCACTCCCCATTCAAATACCAATGGCATATTTCACAGACCTAGAAAGAACTCTCCAAAAATTCATCTGGAACAAAAAAAAAAGACCCCGAATAGCCACAGCAATCCTGAGAAAGAAGAATAAAGTGAGAGGTATCTCAATACCAGATTTCAAGCTGTATTACAAAGCCACTGTTCTAAAAACAGCCTGGTACTGGCACAAGAACAGACATATAAATCATTGGAATAGAATCGAGAGTTCAGATATCAACCGAAATCACTATGCTCAATTAATATTTGACAAAGGAGGCACGAACATACAATAGAGTCAAGACAGTCTCTTCAATAAATGGTGTTGGGAAAATTGGACAAATACATGCAAAAGAATGAAACTATATTACCAACTTACACCATACACAAAAATAAACTCAAAATGGATACAGGACTTAAACATAAGACAGGAAACCATAAAATACTAGAGGCATCAACAGGCAGCAAAATCTCAGACATATGCCAAAAGAACTTTTTCACTGATACTGCCCCTAGGGCAATGGAAGTTAAAAAGAAAATAAACTAATGGGACTACATCAAAATAAAAAGCTTTTTTACAGCAAAAGAACCATCAACAAAACAATAAGAAAGCCCACTGTATGAAAGAACATATTTGCAAATGTTATCACTGATAAAGGTTTAATCTCCAACATCTACAGACAGATTATACAACTAAACAAAAGGAAGATGAATGATCCAATTAAAAAATGGGCAATGGACCTAAATAGAATCTTCGCAAAAGAAGACAGAAGGAAGGCCAAGAGGCACATGAAAACATGCTCAAAGTCACTAATTATCTGAGAGATGCAAATCAAAACGACAATGAGGTACCATCTCATACCTATCTGAATGACTATCATCAACAAACAACAAGCGCTGACAAGGAGGATGCAGAGAAAAAGGAACCCTCGTGCTCTGCTGGTGGGAATGCAGACTGGTGCAACCACTGTGGAGAACATACGGAGTTTCCTCAAAAAACTGAAAATGGAACTCTCATTTGACCCATTAATCCCACTCCTAGCAATATATCCTAAGAAATTAGAACCACCAATCAAAAAGGATATATGCACCCCTATGTTCATAGCA